ACGTCTCAGAATACCCAATCCCTTGATCTGATGCCATAACCATTCGAACATTGTTTTTGGAGATGGTCTGTCCGCATTCTTAAGGCCATGCAACACATAGTTCACCTTTTTGACAAACTCTTCCAGCTCTTTGATCCCCCTTCCCTCTAATTGGAGATTCAAAAGATGCATCTGTCCCAAAGCTACAGCCCTGTCCAAACCCGTTTCGTAATACGAAATAATGAGGTTCAGGAGCGGAGTGCCCTTAGGCCCTTCAGCTCTCGCTGCGCAGCGCTCCACCCAGCTGGTGATCTCGTGGGCGAGCTCCACATTGGTAGACAGCACCTCGGGTTTAATCAATTCCGCCGCAATATGTTTGTTCAGCATAATGAAGTCCTTTGATGTCTGCAACGAATTTCTAAATGCCTTTCCTCTACCTTCCATTGCAAATGTGACCCACTTGACAAGGACATCCGTCTGTGAAAGGTCAATTCTAGAAACCGATGCTAGGAATGCCGCACGCCATTCTCTGCATGAAGTTGCGTCATTGGGCAATCTTGTAATCACAATTGACTTCAAATGCTTCAATTTGTACACATCTTCTTCAGATTTCCCTTCTGGTAACCAACCATCTTTTGGAGGTTGAAAACTCTTATCACCAATCAGTCCCTGCGAAGTTGAAGAATCATTTGATGATGAACCACTTCTTGGTGTATGTATTGCAAATTCAGCAACGCCAGGATTTGAAGGTATATGTCCTCCAATGGTAGACCTTACTTCTTCTTGACCTGTGCCTTTAGCAGTCGGTACAATGTATCCACCTTGAATCCTTGGTCCTCCTTGCACAAAGTTGCAATAACCCTCAACAGGAATAACACTCGGAGCTCCACCACTACCAACTCCAGCTCCTCCCATAAGCCCCCCTGGCGCCAAGATCCCTGTTGGAGCAGCGATAGACGCGCTTCCAACGACGGGATATGCTTGAGCAACGCCAGCGGTCGCATGCGCGATAGACGCGCTCGCAACGCCAGCTCCTCGGAACCTGAAAGACTCGGATGGGGACAAACTTGGAGGCGGACATGAAGCAGCACCAATGCGATCTCCCTGCAAGAGGTTTTGGTCCGCGCCATTGTTGGCAACTACCGCACTGAACATTGTAGAACATCTCCAACATGATGGTCTTCCAACTACATTTTGTGAACCGCAACATGAGCAAAACATCACCTCTAAGGGATTGACGCTAGCAACACTGGCTCCAGGTCCAACTGTCATGATCTCGGTATGTTGTGCAGACTGTGTATGTGGAAGTGGATGATCAAAAGGGTTTGCAACACAAGGTGAACCACCAATTGAACCAGCCATGGAAGCCATCCTTTCAGAATCTTTCAACTTCTGATGTGCGGCTTCCAACTTCGCTCCAAGCATCTGAAGCTCCTTCACAGCCCGGTCCCGATCCAATTCAGGTTGTCGGGCAACATAAGCCACTTGGCCTTCTGCAGCCTTCTGGACCTCATGGATTTCTTGCCTTAATTGCCTGTTGCTTTCTGCCATCTGTGCAATGCGGGCATCCGCCTGCTGTTGAACCTGTTCACACCATTGTTTGGCCTGTTCAGTGTTTTGTTGTTCTCTCATCTCAACTGTTTGTTTTTCATGTTGTAGATGCTGCAATCTCTCTAACACATGATCTTGCAATGCCTTTTGGTCGTTTCCGGCTTGTTGTTTGATGTGCTCGATCTCTTGTCGTGCGGCCTCTCTCATCTGATGATAACTATTTTCCACTCTTGCCCTCACCAGTGAATCCAACAACTGCTCCAATTGTTCGGGGTCTACTTGATTGACCTGCTGCTGAAACAGATTTTGTTGAACATTCTGAGTATTGTACTGGTGTAAGTTTGGTGGAACCTGTTGACCCGTAGATGCACTCCCACCTTGCTGTGCTGCCCCACCTGCATTGGATGAGGATGACCTCTGCCCTTGCTTTGCCAGGGTAGTCATGGTAGCCATCTCCTGGGCGCCAGCTCGAGTCATGGTAGCTAATTGACCTACGGACCTACTGGGTTTTCAGGTGATTCAGATGATGAGGTCCAAGTTGAGTTCGGCCCATCAATCTTGAATGGAGTGGCAGGCACGTCGCGCTTCATGTTTTACACCACGAAAAACTTGTAGTGCAAGAGCCACAATGCTTCAAATGCAGGAACTCAGTGGCACGCGATACACGCGACAGTCCACCCAAGCCGCAATATGCGATCCAAAAGAACTGTGCTGGACGCGCTAAGCGCGAATTTCCAAGATCATGCAAAAATAATGGACGTCAAAGTCAGTGCAAGGCGCAAAATGCAACCAGTGAGCTCAATAGCAAAATGCCAGAAAAATATGTGAAAAACCTGTGGTAAAATGCCAATCCAGTGAAACTGCAGCAAAATGCCGATAGGACAGGTGAAATCTTTTTGACAAAATGTCAGACCTGTATAAAACGAACCTTGTGATGACTATTAGAACAATATCGATATGGCCCCCTTTGCAACACTATCGCAAACTCTTCAGTGTCGATGGAAGTGGAAAGCCTCCTACTTCACGGTCAGCCAAAAATCGAACTAGTGGATCCAATGACTGTTGGGCGCCAAACCGTGCCTTAATGCACTTAACACGGTTGCCACGGGCCCGACCAGATTGCAGGGACAGACACTCGTCTAATATCTCCTGCCGGTCGTCACAGAAAACGCAAGCTCCTGTCTTTTTCAAAACAATTGCTTTTGCTCCTGTGTCACCAGTTATTGATGGTCCTTGTTCCTGGTCTGACAATAACTTCGTCCGCGTGATGTGGATGCCGACAAACGGCCTGAGAAGTTTCTTTTCGACTTCACGGCAGGTCCTGAGGGTCTTCTCCTGGGTCGTGGTGTTTGAGGAGAAACTGCAAATAGTGAGATCGTATCCCCAACGCTGTATATCCTGCAAATGCCGCACAGTTACTTCACTCACCGTCTGGTTAAACTCGATGGTGTGGTGGTAGTCTAACGCCACAAGAGGGCGTTCCTGCTCCACAGGAGCAGAAGCCTTTGCTGTGCCCGACGCAAGGGCAACGCGAGCACGGCACTCAGCCAGCTTCTGCTCGTAGTACGGTCGATGCACGTCCCCGGGCTTTAAGAAGTAGAATCTGCTATGAGACTGTTCCCGCAAGATTCGATCTTCGTACCCTTCGCCACCTTTTGCAACCAGCAATAGCAATGCAGTCTTGTCGATAATTCCGCGATGGGCTTCTGAAGGCACAATCACACTCGGAGCTGACGATGAGGCAGCTGTAGCCTCTCCAGCCTCGGGCTCCTCCTCAGTTGTTGACGGTCTCTTTGATCTCTTTAAAGGTGGTCTCTTTGCTGCCGCCTTCTTTGCCGCTCCAGGTCTTTCAACTGGCGACCTACTACGAGTTCTTGGTGTCACCCTTGTTCCAGACGCACTCGGAGATACGGAAACAGCAGTCGATGTAACCCTTGGGTTCCTTGACACACTAGAAGATCTTGGCACTGGCACTCCAGCAGCAGGTGGCGCCTTTGGAACAGGCGCAACAGGCTGTCTGGTAACCTGCGAAGCCCTTGAAACAGGAGGAGGTCCCTTTGGCTCAGGTACACTAGAAGACTTCGGGGCAGCTGGAGGCGACTTGGGAGCTGACCTACTCCTTCTAGGTACAGGGATCGTCCTTCTTGCCTTCGGCACTGTAGCAACTGATGTAGAAACCAACGTCGATTCGCGCTCAGCGCGAGAAGTTGATTCGCGCTCCGCGCGAGCAGTAGGTTCAATATCTGCTGCACTGTCGGGTACCCAGACCCAGCGCCACGAACCGCCAGCTTCTGCTGGTGGAGGCTCTTTTGCTGATGGTGGGGGCCCAGTTGGTGGTACTGGACGCCTTGATAATCCTGGGGGTGGCTCTCTAGCCAATTCCTCAGCTGAAGCAAAATCTATTGCCGAAGCTGTGCCCCTGTCAAAACGGGCAAGCTGCGAGGCCCTCCACGGGTTTCCTCCTCTAGCACCTCTGGGTTTCTTTGCCTTTCCACCCTGTGAAGACATACACAAAGATTGTATCCAGCTAAGCTCACTAGGAATGCAATCGCGCAAGCGCGAGGAAGAGAGAATGCAAATTGCTCAATAGAGGAAAACAAAAGCTTGATGAAAAACGCAATGCCCTCTAAGAGTTCAATGATCTCACAGTTGAATGATTAGAGCCGGATACGGCTGATAACCAGTAAAATCGGTCACAACCAGTATATTCGCGAAGTTGATGACCAATAGGGGGATGCCACAAACCAGTGATTAGCGAAGTTTAATGGCAATGTCGTTGTATATTCAAGATACCAATGCAATGCAAATGCAGCCCAGTGATTGCGAAGGCTAGCACACTTTTATGCGGGCATCTTGAGCCAAATATCGTTGGCCAAGTCTTGAGTTTTCATCCCGGATTTCAGGATAAAAGAACATGTTATCATTGACAGATAACCTATTGATTCGTCTATTCCGTGCTGACACCAACTGACATCTTGTACACTTTACAGTCATTGGATACAACATCATAGATACTCATGCAAAGGTGAGGAGTTGATCGAGTATTTTCATCTATATATATAATATATATATATATATTTGTATATAATAAGTATGTAATAAGCATTATCACACGCACACACACACATATATATATATATATAAATATAATATATATATATATAGATATATATATATATAGTATCAAATATATCATATCACATGTTAAACTGTTAAGCACTGGATTTTCGAAATCCATACAACTGATAACCAGCAGGCTTCATCTACCAGTGAAATTGAATCTAGCTGATCCAGTCAAACGGGGTGGCAAACTGCCCATACAAGCGCTCATGCCTGGGGATAAAAAAAGGTGCGCAGGTGGCCAGCCAAAGACTTCCATGTCGGACCCTTACAGTAGATGATCTTAGATTCTGAACCTGAACCAACTATCATCAATTATCCAAGCAAGTTCTCTGTTCTGGGGACCGGACACGGACTTGTTGTACCTGGACAAAAACCTCAGGGAACTCAATCAGTGGGTGGCAGTCGTCAAGGAATCATGATCCTGATCTATGGGGACTGCACTAAGCTCAGTGCTTCCTGAAAGTCCAGTCCTCATGAGGGAACTTGGTCCTGCTATAAAAAGTTGAGGCGGCTAAGAACAGTAGCGTGCTGCGATCTGACATGTTCCGACATCTTGGAAGGTCTAAATGAAATGAGAGATGCCATCAAATGCCACGAACCCCGGACAAATTCAGGTTGTTCTGGAAGCCTCCAGGGGAGGCTGCATAGAAAAAAATACATGAACTTGAAGCGCAATCATCGGCTCACGCTTTTTTGCGAGGCTTGGTCAGTGCGCAAGAGAGGTATAAAAGGATACAGTAGGTCTGAAAAAACAGGCGCTGTCGGTATGCAGCCTTAATCTTGGAAATTACGGCCACGCAGCAGCCTCTTTTCGGCTTGTGTCCTGAACGGAACTCCGTGGTCTGGAAACGACAAATGATGACTGTTCACGACTCTTCCTGACTTTTCCTGGTGCTGGCTTACTCTTTTTAACCATGGACCCCGTAATGATGTTTGAAAGACACCTATATTAATTAGCATCAAGATTGCAGGTGGGTTTGCAGACCATCCGAAGACACGTGGCTGATGAGCTCTATTGGCTAATTAGCTGCTCGGTCACTGACTCAGGCGGGCCACGAGCCCTTTGAAAGATTCTTGGACCCAGCAACAGCTGGAACGCCGAGAGCTCATTGAAAGGCACTTGAGAAAGGCATGATATGTGCTCACAGAAGCACAGCAGTCACGAAACCTTAAGCATTTTCAAATGGCTCTGCCTGAAAATAGGGTATCCCCTATCACTTCCTACATTAAAATAAAATGGACACTCTGGGGCAGCCCTCATCTACAGATAAACCCAGATCGTCTTTACCATGCTTGGATTTCTTGTATTTCTTGCGTGACAGCTGTGCCTTTGGCAGCCCAGTTGAGGCAATTTTTTCAGTGTTAGCTCAGTTAGCTCTTGTGGGGGTTTCTTAAAATGGGGGATCCCCAAAACCATCGGTTTCAATACTGAAATGGTCGAATTTTGGGTGATTTGGGGCGCCCACATTTTAGGAAACCTCTTTGTGAATGTTCACTGCACGCCGGAAACTGTACTGTACAGGGAAGCTAAGTGCGTCTCTATACCATTCTATACCACCCCTGCCTGGACAAGGAGCCACACAAGCGACCCAAATGGCACTGAAGTGACAAAGCATGTCCTTTGCCTATCCGATTTACGGGTCAAAAATGGTGTTGGGAAACATCTCCGAAATTCGTCGAAAGGTGTCTTTGGGTCCTACATGGTCCTACAGTTTGACCAAAATTCAACCCATCCCACAATCCGAAAATCCAAACATCCAGGAAGTGAACCTTAGCCTGCAGGGGATATGGTGTACCGTGCAATTCATGTGGCTGTCTCGATGTTAGTTGCAACCACGAGATCTCGCCAGATTCCGACACAGGTCCCAACTTTCGAGAGGTTGCCGTTGATTCGCTGCTGGGATGAACCATGAGACTCATTGGAAGATGTGAATCACCCACTTGTAATGGTCTTATGAAAATCATAGCTTCCAAAATGGAGACTATTTGCCTGGTTCACCCGAGTAGCGTGGTTGATGTATTGACCCCTACATGTGTCGGAATTCATGCTATATATCTTGTAGACTTCGAATTCTAAATATCACTTTTCGTGATGCAGGTTGATAGGTGTTCCTGGCACAGTGGCGGCTGATCGACCCCTGTCAGCATCCTATTTCCCAATGATGCCCTTTGGGGAATAGAAAAGGTCACTTAGGCACCATATGGTACCAGATCACTTACCATCATTTACCATTTTTCAACCTTTTCTGACTCGGAAAATAATTCAAAATCAGCACTGCAAAATCCAATGCATCTGAAGTTAAAAAATAGCTGAAAATCGGAATTGCTAACATGATGTTTCCCAATGACATTTTGTAGTTGGGTCTATGGCATCCAAAGTTCCGACCAACATAATTTCGGAGAACATTTTGTAGTTGTCAATGATTGAATTTAGTTGGATCAAGTGTTGACCCCGTGCAGTTTGTTAGATGGCATTCTGTAGCTTCATGATCTGTTTGTGTCCATGTACATGTCATGCACTGTTTCCTTTTTTCCACCTCTTCTCACTTCAACATATACAACTCCAAAATGCAAATGAGGATTTGAAAGGAATCAACTACAAAATGAATGCAAATACAAAAAGGTGGTCCCAACTCCTCCTTTTTGTACAAAACGACCCCTGGCTGGCATTCTGTACTGTAGCCCAAGTCCTCCCCTTTACGTAGCTAAAATTTGAAGGAGGATGTAGATGTAACTATACAACCTTTCGCCAACCAGTGGCATCTTCTTTTCATCCACCATGAGCTTTCCAAACAAAAATCCACCAGCAACAGCGACTTTTCCGCACGGGCCTCTGTGCAAAGCTCGCTCCAAGAGCAGCTGGGTGGACGTATCGAAGGGTTTCCACTTCAGCAGCTGGCGGCAAATCTCTACGCACTCATCGAAGCGCGAGTTCCTCAGGGAACCAGGTCACGACGGGGTCACGACAACATCTCATGGGGTGAGGCAGGGACCAGCTGAGGGCAATTTGACTGGAGGAACTGGGAAGCTGCGGAATTTTTGGGGGTTCCAAATGGTTGGAATTATCCCATTTGGATGATGGGTATCCGTACAATGCCATCCAAAACTGCAAAAATGAACGCCCAATTTGATCACTCAAGCACGACGGTATTTTTTTTTGGGGGGGGCGGGGGCATGCTACCGGTAAATGTGGGTGAGTGATATGGTAGGGGAACCACTCCAGCACAGACTTCAAATAGGAAACTGGATGAAACGGGTGATATATTGACATGGGCAATGGGAAGAGAAATCGTTCCATCAATTGCGAAGCAGTGGGTTATGATTGGCAACTTGATGAGACCATGCATGTGAAAAGAGGCCGGTTTCGCCAGTGACATCTGCCATCAGTTTTGTCTTGGTTTTGTTGCTGACTACGGTAGTGGCTTCAAAGTTACTGCGATTTCTTCAACCAGAAATCATCCACCCAGCTTTGACCAATGCAAAACAGACATCAAAACAGTATGGTTCGAATTCAGCTGCAGTGGGTAACCCTGCAGACCTCTTGGCCTACCATCAAACCGGAAGTGGCCAACCCCTTACCAAGCTACGTGTATGCGTCGAACGCAGCTTCATACCTCAGATTTCGAGAGATCGTAACTCTCGGGTATGTGCATGGAATGCATACAAAAAGGCACCATAGAAATGTAGTACAGTAGTTTGTTTGGCTTCCATCAGCTGCATACCTCCATATCTTCAACATTTTAAGATGTACATTAAGAACGCATATGTGCACATATTTATAGACTACTACATATTATATATATATATACATACATAGTCCCATCGGCACTTTCAACTCTTTGTCTGACTATGTCTGTCCTGCTCATGAAATTGATCCAGTTTTACACCACGTCGAGAGACTCTGCTGCAAAGGCCTTCTGCTCTGTGGTCACCTCGAAGCTACGACATCAGCTGTGACACCCTCAAAAGGATGTTCCTCATGGTTTTGAAAACATTGGGATATCATGCGATATCAGGGGTAATATGGCATAATATGGCATAGTATGAGATAATAAGTGATCTGGAACATCTTCAGGAAACCATGTTTATTCTCGGAATTTCCCCTTCATCATCTTCATCCACTTCTAGGTTTTGAATGGATCTGCTATTACCATTCAAAATGATTGTGAACATCCTTTCGCTTCCACGGAAAGGATCTAGAATCATATAGCCGCATTGAGGTTAGACATTCTCAAGATCCAACTAATATATCATGTGATGTGCTCTACGCTTTCCTGTCTCCAAAAACACATCCTTCAAGGTGAGATACATCCAGAGGATGGGTCTCCCTACTTGCATCCATCAAGGCTGTACAAGCACCCTATAGCTGGCGTTCCTGGTGTTCTCCATTTTGTGTTTGAATAGGCCCTTCTCTGCTGTTGGTTCCTGATTCTTCCTCAGTTCTCTCAAGATAAACTTCTCCGTTGTGCTCTTCGCACGGTTCTCAGTATATATATATATATTATATAGCCTTTAACGTGAAAAGATCCCTCCGATTCACCAGCTAGCAGCTAGCAGCAATCTTAGGATATCTTTGGGTCTTCGACATGATTTGTCCTGTAAGTCCCAAAATTTTGATGTGTGTCTTCAAAATCGCTTTGCATCATTTTGCCATCCCTATGTCTATTGTGCGAAGCTGGCTGTGATGGCTGTAGAAAATTCAAGGGCTATGGATCCTTACCCATACGATCCCATCCGGGGATCACTGACGGTCACTAATCTGGTCACATCCAAACACCAAACAGCCCAGCCTGATCAAGGAAACCAGCGGCAGGCGACATGCTGGAACTTGGGTAGCCTTCCGATTCGGCAAATAACTGGGGATCATTCCATCCGTTTTCTACAAGCAGGCAGGGATGCAGACATCACTATCATTATTCATCGTGAAAAGGTAACTGTCTTACACCACCCAGGCCTTTTCGGCCACAGCTTTGGCTTCGCACTTGGCCAGGACCAATTTAAATCACCCTTCATTGTCTTCATTTGTTGAAAGAAGCACAAGACTGAAACAGGATGTGAACCAACCATATACGGTCATATACGTGCAACATTATCCTCTCAAAACTTGTTACAGCTCACAAGTCTTTTATCACTTTCCTTCGCCATCAGCCTTCAGCCCCCAGCACAATGCCTCGAGAGGTTGGATGGCATTTGCAACCTGCAAGGGGGGCGAAGAGTGACTATCATGCCTGTCGGATGATGTTGGATGTAGAGAATCTGTTAGAATCGTGTGCACATTGATCAAGTCTGATCAACAAAATCAAGTACTATTGATGTTGTCTAGTGACTAGTAGTGACAGCTGGCATTCTCTGAAAAGTCACTCCTGGATCTCTGAATGGCAGGGAACGGTATGGTGTGACATGATACACAGTTTTAGTTACAGAATCAGACCAATCAGATCACGGATCTGCGTAATCATTCAATTCGTTCCTTCTTTCTCTTTCTGATTCTTTCTGAACTCACGGGTCACTTTTATCCATTGATGAACTAAAGATCTTCATATTGATATACACACGGTCTGAACAAGAAAATATATAAAATATGGGATATAATATAATATAATATGAATTATAATCCCTTCCTCCTAATACTAAACGTCCCCCTAATACTAAAAACAGGCATCCATCTCCAATTTCCGAAAATTTCAGTTTGGCCAATTTGACTTTTAATTGATCCCCTTTAAAAAACAATTTAAAAATCAACCTACCATTTGTGGGTTCTCCCCCCTAATACTAAAAACTAGTTCACCCCGGGGTGTTTAGTATTAGGGGGGCCTAGTCCCAATCCCTCACTCCAAGCTGCCTGGCTACTCTAGCAATTAGGGGTAAGCTTCGAACTGCCATTTTTGGCAATATTTTAATTGCGTTATATAAGGAAATTTAATTGATTTTGAGATCGGAAAAAATAGTTTTTAGTATTAAGGGTTTTAATTTAGTATTAGGGGTAAGCTTCGAACTGCCATTTTTGGCAATATTTTAATTGCGTTATATAAGGAAATTTAATTGATTTTGAGATCGGAAAAAATAGTTTTTAGTATTAAGGGTTTTAATTTAGTATTAGGGGTAAGCTTCGAAGTGCCATTTTTGGCAATATTTTAATTGCGTTATATAAGGAAATTTAATTGATTTTGAGATCGGAAAAAATAGTTTTTAGTATTAAGGGTTTTAATTTAGTATTAGGGGTAAGCTTCGAACTGCCATTTTCGGCAATATTTTAATTGCGTTATATAAGGAAATTTAATTGATTTTGAGATCGGAAAAAATAGTTTTTAGTATTAAGGGTTTTAATTTAGTATTAGGGGTAAGCTTCGAACTGCCATTTTTGGCAATATTTTAATTGCGTTATATAAGGAAATTTAATTAATTAATTAACATGACTTCGATTTGGTTCCCTAATAATAAATACCCCCCTAATACTAAAAACTACCTGCCGTGTTTTGTATTAGGGGGGGGGGTTAGTATTAGGAGGAAGGGATTATATGGATGCCTTTTTTCCCTGCCATTCTCCCTGCATTGCCAGCCTTCGGAGCCTGATCCTGGGGATGGGGAGGGATAGTGAGACATGTGCGACGCTGAGGCAGCTGTGCTGGTGGCGCCACCACCATAAGTGCGATTGGTGCGGTCACCTACTGAGGTCCGTTCCCCAGGTGTGGTGTGTCCTGGGCTATCCGCGCGTCCAATGACAACGGGCGACTCGCAGAAATATTGACAGCTGGCATCCGGCCAATTGCGGCGCATGGGGCTGCGGGACATGGGGTTCAGAAGCAAGGGAGCGTCGGACCTCTCTTCCTCCGGTAGCAGGAACTGTGGGGGCCCTTTCTTCCGGGCATTGGACTTGGGGATGGGCAGCGTCAAGGCGCCATTGCCGATGGTCTGGGGCTGGACTTCTTGCTCTGGCTCGCTCTTGGGGCTGCTGGAATCCGTGGTCATGGGACCAGCCGCTATGCCGCTGGCCGAGGTGGCTTGTGTGGCCTGGGTGGCCTCAGTGCCTGTCATGGTGACAACGGTGTCTTGGCCGATGATCTCATAGACGGCCGTGGTCTCTTGACGACCCTTGACCTAAGGGCAGCCACCAGAGATCGGAAGACTTGGGGCCAAATTGCATGGCAATGAAGCTAGCTACACCATGATCAACTGCGACTATACAACCAAGAAGAGCCCACCCTTTCATTTTGGCCAAGCCACCTGCAACAGATCAAGTTTGCGGCAAACCAAGGCTGATGTGGCCAAACAGGTCTCTTCCGAGCACATCACATCCACATCGTAGAACTTGCAAAGGCCTTGATCAAAGCATTTGGAGGCCAAAAGCTTGTAGACAACCCATGACCCTCGGCTTTCCTGAAGTTTCGCCAGCATGCACGCTAGCACCATATTCATGTTCCCCGGGTATGCATACATGCCTGATACTGATACACATACAGTACGCGTCACAACTATGGACATGTGCACGCACGCCATTGGCCCGTTTAATCCTGATTTTTTCTGTGGACTATGAACCATCACTGAAGCACCTTGCAGTCGGCTCGTTAGATTCATGGCGTCTCCGATGCAGCCAAACCTCGACAAAGAAAAAAATGAGCGGCGTCGATTGGGGCCTACTGAGCCTATGGTCTTGAGGGTGCTTTGAAGCGAAGTTGAACACCACAATTTGGGCACAGGAACTGACAGTTCTTCTCAACTTCCAGAGACCCTCCGGCCGCACCAATGTGCAAAGGATGACCAGGGCTTAGTTTAGACTAGATATGTAATATAGATTAATAATGATTAATATAGAGGGAAAGAAACAAACCACACACACACACATGTTCACAAACTAGTTCCTGAGCTTGGCACTTCATCTTCATGGCACTGCCGATGCATCCCACCAAGACGCTGCCGCTGTGAATGCCCACACCCAAGCGCAAGAAAGCATCTGCGATGGAATGGTCCGACCATGTGAGGTGGAAGTGATGCTGATGGCAGTGTCAGGGAATCTTTTTATCTGAAGCAAGATCCAAACCGGTTCCAGTTGATCCACAAATGCCTTCAATGCGTTTCGTTTAAAATGCAAACACATGTTTTTTTCCCCTCCGAGGCGAAACATATTAAGAAATTGCAGGAAGCCAGCACCGCTCAGCCAGAAAGAACTAGGTGCTTGCTTTCAGAAGTAATGGGCCTCAAAAAATACGCCCACATGTTTCAGAGTGATTCAATCCTTCAACATTCGGAACGCAATTACACATAGAATAGAACATCATGGGATCATCTGACAAACTATAACATAGACATAGCTGTGGCAAAAATCAACTAAATGGATCTAAATGGGCCATTTTCCATAGCTATGTTACTTTACCAAAGGGTATCATCTATTCAGTACGGGGGGTGGAAGATATGAAGGTCCCCAGCTCCTCAGCATCCCACCTGAAGGGTCTAACCAGCCATCATCCACCAGCTCTTGACGCAAAGTGTTCATAGCCTCGCCATGGAAAGAACATGAAATGGTGACTTGATGTGACTTGGGTATAATTACTTGGGGATCCCTAGTTGTGACACCGCCCAAAAATCATATGGAACCCAAAAATGGCCACATCCCATAGGAAAATCACGGAATATCATCTTTCAAACAATTTTTATTCGTACTTCCATGTCAAATTACATAAATGTACGGGGTGCCTGGGTTTTGAGATGATTATTTGGGGATGCGGTTCCAGCACAGGCCATGCAACCAATCAAAATACCGATGTCATTGCACGGTGGTCATGAAGCCTTCCCTTCTCAGTGCCTTCTATCATCAACTTTGATTCGTTGACTTCCCATTTTTGTGGCTTGAAAACATCAGCAGTGCCCTAGCGCCTGACGCTGGGCGAGGCCAGCCTCGCAGGCTTTTGTGGCATGGTTGGACACCATCCTGGGAGCGTTGAAGTAGACCAGAAGGCCTTCATCCAGGATCTCTCCTTAGGTCTGCCATGCTGTGAGTTGATGGATCCAATCCTGTTTTTCTTGGCCAAACATATAGAAATGCCCGGTGCCAAGGCAAGCCATGGGGAGAACCAAGCAAAATGGTGGTATACTGGGATGTACTGGGACGTAAAGTTCCAAGTTTACAATGGGGCATGATAATTGAGGATCCATCATCCATCATTTGTTATTATTTGCTCACCATCATTAATCATTAATAACAATAGTAATAGTATAGTAAGCTAATTTTGCTTATATAATTACTAATCCCACTCCACTCATTTCTGAATTACTGGTTGGTGGATATGCTTGTCAGTGGGATTACTGTATTACCCCAGTGTCTACAATGAAAAGCATGAAACAACTAAGCAGCTAAGTTACATGGGATATGTAGTCGGAAAGTCATTGGGGGGTTGGAAGGCTCTGGCAGGGTGTATGTTGGTTGCGGGGGATGACGATGATGGTTACGCTCATGTGGAAACCCATCAAGAAAACCTAGCCATAAAGTGACCGGGTCTCCAATTGGGGATCATGCCTTCTATATCGAAAAATCTCAACAAGAACTGGAAGTGTAACTTGGTATCTAAGATATCTATCTAATTTTCAGTTTAAACATCTTCCACAATAATGCATGGATTGGTTGGACAGCCACCAGCCACTTTTAAACATCTTTTGCACAGCCAGGTTTCCCACGGTTCCCTCGTACTGCTCCACAATGGATGTCATCATCTTGTGGAACCTCGTGACGTGGCTGGTGATGGGTTGAAATCCCAGAGGCGTACTGGTGGCACTTAAAGCATAGACTGGATCCATGCCCAGCATCATAGGGAAAATATTGGCGTAGTACTGATTGATAGATATTGATAGCATGCAACCATGTGCTTCCAGTATCCACCAACAAGTATCCCATCAGTTGTTCGCTGCCAACTCTTCACCATTTCCAGAATGTCCCAACAAATGCTTCGTTGGGGGTTTTACCCTGTTGAACAGATGACAGCCAAAGAGGACCGTCATTCTCTTTTTTAGATGGTAAACATTTGAAATGTAACAACTCCTCAAATTCACCAAGACATCTTTCAAGGATTTCCAGTGTAATATGTTCAAAATACCTTCTTCACACCAAACAAGGACTTTCCATTTCATAAAAAGAGTGCACCCCCAGGTGCCGAAGATTTACCCAAATCTTTGGAGATATCCTGATGCAACTTGGCAGTTTCCCGTCGCTTCATACACTGATACTACGAGGTGGGGTAAAGTGGAAGGCTATATAACTTGGCCTATAAATGTCTATAATTGTAGTTAAATTATGGCTTACCAATGTGTATGACATATCTATATATATACTGGGCAAATTACAATAATTCACTAACCTGAAATAAGGCCATTTTGGGATGATTCCCCTTATTATCCATGATTCCAGTGAGGTCGCAGTGAGGTCGTTATAATTTGCCCAGTATATATATATATATTGCAAGTGCTGGGACTTTGCAATGGTAGGGAACACTCAAGCTATCTGGATGTGGGCCCCAAAGGATGATGCTATGGCTTCGGATCTGGCAGCGCGAGATGAACAGCCCGGTCGGTCCTTTTTCCCTTTCCAAGCTGCGGATGAGCGAGAATCTGTGAATCCTGCTACAAGTGCTGTCACTTGCATGGGCCCCTTCCCGGGAAATGAAAAAACCTTCAATGATTCAACTTCGAATCCCCTAAGGTCACATTTCGTTCGTGTGCGCCAGGTGCACGCTGTTGGTTTGCCAAGGTCTCCAAGCCCTCTTTCTTCCGCTTACGAGCCGATCGCATCTCATCATCGCTGACTATTCTCCATCTACAACCTAACTGATAGAAATGCTCGAGCTCTTTGGCATTTGGTTTCGTGAGTGCATTGCCCAACTGAGCTTCCGAATGAACCCACCTCATATGAACCTGGTTACACCTCTGAGCATGTTTCAAACACATCAACTCAAGACTGGTCCTACGTTCAGCCCCATGGGTGTTGAACTCTTCAGTTTGAAGACGGTCGTACACGTTTCTGGAATCAGAAATGACACCCCCAACAACCAAGTTAACCGTGGTATTAATGTCAAAAACATTAACCTGAGGTCCTATGATTTCTCCCCATTGGTATCTTGCATGGAAAAGAAGGTCCTCACCGTTCACCACAGCAGACGCTTCGGCTGCCCCCGGACTCCTCACAACCCTTTCAATTTTGGTGGCATGCCAACTTATGGGAGTAACCCGTTCCATGTTCCCTTCGAGCAAGGTGGTGGGTGCCATTCCAAGAAACAAACCCTGTGTGCTGCTGCCGTCTTTCCTGTTTTGCCCCGCTGCATCCGCCCAGACAAACAACCCCAACTCTACGTCAGGGGGGAAATGGTGGATGATCATTTTATGATCTTTCCTCTGACGTGCTGCATAAATCAGCTTGTTGGTTTTCAGTATCGTTTCGACACTGCCTTTGGCTATTTCAGACAACAAAAGTCCTACTTCCGCCGACATGTGTGGTGCTACTTGCTGTGCATGCCAGCTCAAGGAACCCAGAGCTGCTCTCAGCTGGGTCTGCTCACGCCCACTGAGTTCACTTTGTGTCTCCTTCCTTCGGCTGGCACTAATTGGTATCTCAGTCACCTTTTCCATATACGTGGGCTGGGACAGGTGATAGCTGTTATCAGCTTGTTCTTCAATGACTACGCCGCACTGTACAAACTTCCCTGTCTCCCAAGAGCCCCATGCATACTGAGACTGAATTTTGGCTAAGATGTTATCCCATTCAGGATCATCCCGGCCTCCTGTGAACATGAAGTCGTCTACATGGCAGCTGATCATTCCTCTCAGCTGGCCGTTTGGCTTCCACAGCCACATGCATGGATCACTCCAGGTTTTGACTAACCCCAGGCTTTGAAAGAAATCAGAGACACTTCTGTACCACTCTATGGGTGCGTCTACTAACCCATAGCATCCACGCTTCACGCGGGTGATGCTGTTCTCACTGATTCCCATGGCCTGGCATATCTCAGGACATGGGATGCAGAAAAGGTCTGTCGGATATTCTCTCCCTTGCAAAAAGGCACCTGGAACATCACCTTTCCTAGTGATCCATTTTCGAATTGCAGCCACTTGTAAAAGCATTTGACGACTTTGTTTGGTCATCACAGGAGTTGTTGCGGCTCTGTGCTCATAGCCGGGGTCTTGATATCCTAATAGGATGGCCCGGGCCTTTGGCTTCCGGGTACCGTCATCTTTCAACTTCCAAGTTAAAATCCATCTCATGCCTATTGCTTGTTCTCTAGGTGGTTGGAGATGGTCTGGAATTATCTCAAAGGCTTTGGCGGCGATGAAATTCTTCACCTCTACCCCTTTTGCTCCTTCAAACTCAGCCCTAGTTTCGGGATCCATCCTACGCTCACTCAGTTCTACTGCGCGACGTCTCATGGCTGTCAGGAAGTAGCTGGTCATGTCATTCTCCATGTGCTTCCAACCTCGATTGCTGGTTGGCATGTCGATGGCGACTTCCACTGCAGCTTCATGATTGCTCCAGTATACTGTGGCTTCTTCAGTTGGATCTCGAAAACTCAGATTGGACCACCAAGCTTCGGCCTCGAACCCTGTACCTGTGGATGGCTGGCCTCGTTGACGTGATGCTGGTTCGCCTGTCTCCATGTCACTGGAGTCTGCTGGATCCAGTGGTCGTTTGTGCCAGTGTCGTACCCTTGGAGTTGGCACTGGAACCATTGGGATGTCACCTTCATCGTCACCTTGTGCCTGTTCCCACTCTGTGGTGCTTGGCACCTGACCTGTGAGGTCCTCATACTCATGGCTCCCCAGTTGATCCACCAATCTTGGAATTGTCCATGGAGCCTTGTTGTCCTCGTCCGTGGTCACATGCTCCAGCAATGCCTCTCGCTCTGTCGCTGGCCTCAGCTGCTCCACACAACACTTCAAGAGCCTGCGCCCTCGCACTACCCAGACTGTACTTCCTGCTCTCAGTTGGCCGTCTGCTTCCCGCTTGGTTTCTGTGACCAGCACATGTGCTGGACCAAGAAAACCTCCGGTTTTGGAAGCGACCATGCTTTTGGGAAGTTGTTTCCTCCAGTAGTAGACAAGGTCACCTGGGTGATAGTGATTGGTTCTCTGGCCTCGTGAGTTCAGAGCCTTCTTGATCCGTTCATTGGCAAGCCAACCTGAGTGTGCCTGTTCTGCTGTCTTCATACGTTCTATGCCCTCTTGGAACTCTCCAGTGGGATTTCCAATCACAGCTTCATGGTGTCGACCCTCAAGGCTAGATATGAAACGACCTGTTTCGTCAGGAGCTATGCCCAGTGCATGTTGTACCGGTGAAAAACCCCGAACTGTTTCCCGGTGGTTGAACGTTCGTACTGCTATGCTCAGTGCGTCCTCTGGTGTGATGTTGGGATCTTCATCCACCAGCTTGTTCATCACCTCCTTGAGGCCTCGTATGGCCTGCTCGCATATGCCAAACTTCCAGTGAGCTTCTGCTGGTATGAAATCAAGGAATATGGATTCGGCATCGCAGAATGCCTCTACTTCGTTGGACCGAAAGGCTCCAGCGGGATCCAGTCTCAAGGTTTGGGGTTTGCCAAAGTACTGGAACCAACCCTCTTTAAGATACTGGATAAACTGAGAAGCATTCATCGTTTGTTTTCTTCCTCTACTCAAAATGCGTGCCGTCCTAAACCTACATCCCTCATCAATCAAAACTGCGAAACCTACCGTTTCCCGTTTCCCTTCGTGAGTCCATGTGCCCCCATCGGCGCACACCACTGACCATTTTGCTGGCAAAGGCTCAAGTGTGGACACATGTTTGGTGTTCATCTTTTGGCGAGCTTCACAAACCGAACATTTGAAATCCCTGGCCATGTCCAAAACCCTTTTACTGGCACCCCTTTTTTGAAGAGACAATATCATGTTTCTGACACTACTATGTCCCGTGGCGGCATGAAGCAAGTACAATTGTCTCTTATTCATGTCACCATCTTTCGGGTCTTTGGGGGATCCCTCATGAACATAACCCTCATGAACATGATCATGTGTCCCAACAAGTCCAACCGGCTCAGTATGGCAACTCCCACAAGTCATCTTAACCTCATGGTTGTGAACTTCTTTGCAATAACAAGTGGAACCACCCCCAAACAGCCGTGGTAACCTGGTGTCATGTCCCAAAAACTCTTCTTTGAGGTGGTTCTGTCCCATTTCATACTTGATGGCAGCCACAAACCGTTGGACAAATTCCGGGGTGTAATAGGCTGTTTTCCTAGTCATGTCCCCTTCACAAACAGCATGCTGATATGACTTAGGGCACCGACAAGGGAGATTCATCATTTCCGCAACCCTTTTGTGGGTAGTCATGAGTTTCCATCCCTTGCGCATCAACTGACCCTTTTTGTGGTGTCGAAGGTTCACCTGGCACCCATGAACCACAGCCATGAACAACCCGTACTTTTGTTGGAGGTTTTGTAAAAGGGGAAGTCTCCATCCCTGACACTTTTCGGACCACTCCCAAGTTGCATGGATTCCCAACTGAACACAATGTTGATAAACACAGGCAGCCCCAACATACTGTTTCAAAACCAACCGTCGTTTTTCTTCCAATTCCATTTTCTGTTGTTCCGTACGTTGATTCATGTTTTGAACAGGAGAATAGGGACCACACTCAGGAGAAATATAAACATGTTTGGGTTTCAACTGGTTTATTTTCGACATGACAAGTCTCACACCTGCATCCGTTCCCAAGTCACACCCATTCCAGTGTGAACATCTCACCGCTGCATTTTCACGCCCAGCAGCGGCTTGAACAGCTTGAGCCAGTCGGCTCTCCGGGCTACATGCAACTTCTACCAAAATGGTGTCGCTGCCCTGAGTCAGTTTGTCAAAAGCAACAGCAGCAAGATCCCTATCGATGTGTCGGAAAAACCTCTCAGCCTCAGGAGTCAGGAATTTGCCTACCTGCTGTACTGACTGGCTACTCTCACTGCTGACGTTCATACAGGTTGAGTCACCCATCTCATCACCGATCACGGATTTGTCAGAGGGCTCCAAGAGCTCTGGCCATCCATCTCCTCGTCCTTGACGGACTTCTTGTGGGGTCGGCCCCTGAGCTCGTCGATCTCCTCCTTGAGGTCGTTCACCTGTGTCACCACTTGTTGCATGATCCCCATCAGAGCGGCCGTACTGGCCTGTGATGCCTCCGAAGGTGTGGCCTCGTTCTTGGATTCCTTGACTGCCACAGGGACCGGTGTCGGGATTGGCTTGCCCTTCTGCTCCATCAGCCATGTGGCCAATCGCTGAAGACGTGGGTTGCACTGGCCCTCCTTGCTGGTCTGGATCACCCACTGGCCATATTCGGGATGGTGAATCTGCACCTCCCCATAGCTCAGCGTGCTGTGTTTCCCAAACCCGACAGGATCCGTGCTGTCGGCCGGGCTCACCTGGTAGATCTTCTCCATTGCGCTCTTCTGGAGCTGCATCACTGTGGCATTCTCGTCCACGGGGAGCTGCAACTTCTCGTGGTTGAACTTCTGGAGGTCGATCTTCCGACGTGAGGCTTTGTTGAGTGCTACCACCCAAGCCTGCAGCTCGGTTTGGTTCTTCCTGCCGGTCAGGCCCTTCTCCTCGCGAAGTTCGGCAATCCTCACCTTGATCTCGGTGACATTCCATTTCTCCGGCGGCACCTCGCCCAGCTGCATCATCTCGGCGACATAGTCCTTCTTGGTCTTGGGCGCCATGGTCAGCCGCTGGATCCTGGACTCCGCGGTCTTGGCTAAGTGACTCTTTTGGAAACGGCTGCAGAGACAACATGGTGTGAATGTGTGTATTCGTGTGCACATGTTCACAAGTCCCGCAGGGATTCACTTCATCGTTGATCCTGACATGGCTCTCATGGTTTTGTTCTGGATTTTTCATTTCCCCATCACCTACAGTTGCCTGAAAAATACTCTGGCCCTTTCTTTCCTTGGCAGGCTCCAAAGAAGAAAGGTGCTGTCCCTAGCAAAACGCATCTAAGCCCGGAACTGGCCTTGTGCAGTTCCTGGCATTGCAAAACAGGTCTTCAGACAATGACATCAGTTGATGTCCCGAGGCTGAGCGCTCAAGTGGCACGATCTTGTTCTCATCGAGGTTCCTGAACACAGCCAGATCCTTCTCAAAATCAATGATGGCTCCCAAGGCTCGCAATGTCTCCACTGAGATCAGGATGGGTCCTTGACCTTTGTCAAGAGCATGGATCTTCAGGAGTCCAGGTTGTTTGTTGGCGCTAATTCCCATCTTGGCGGTGGAGACACAAGTGTCTCGGGAGGAATTGCCAAAACCAAAGGTCGGCTGCTCCTCAACATTGATCTCTTTGACCCGTGTGTTCCCATGTTTTTGCTCATTGATTTCCATCAACCTCTCGAGCGCATGCACTGAGCCAAGGGTCTTGGTTGCCCCCCATCTATGATACCCATACCGGCATCAATGGCGTCCTGGGTGCTACGGCATCCAAGATTCTCACCGGTGGCGTTGGCAGCAGCATCATCAGCCTGGTAGTTGAGCTCGTTCTCCACATAGCAGACAAAGGGCGCCGCTTCGGACGCCAGAGCCTTCGTGGTAGGAGCTTGTTTGTCAGGGCACTGGCCAGTGCGATGTGCTCCCCCACAGCGCAAGCATGTCCAATTGCTCCCATAGGTGCCTTTGCCACCACCTTTTCCACCTTTCTCCCATGGCCTGGTCTTGTAGGTGTTGGTTTTGTAGTACTGTCTCGACATCTTCACCATCTTTTGCTTCTCTCGTGCCTCCCGCAAAGTGCGTTTGGCTTGCTCCATCATCGCGTATGCTCCTTCAACTTCTTCTTCTGCGGTCCACATGATCTCGAGGCCCTCATCACTGAGCCCTTGCAGGTCGGACCTCTGGTAGAAGGACATGTTGGTGTCCTCATCATCCTCTCCAAAGAGGACTTCATCCTGCCAATGGGCTCCCTGTCGGGCTCCTTGATCTCGTTTTCGCAACTCATCTTCTGGCCACTGAACTCGTAGTTCTTGTGCGACTCTGTGCAGACTGAAGTCTCCTTGGAGGGCAGTCTGCACCATATTCCGTTCATTTCCATCTAGAGACGCATCTTGTAGGAGGTACCATCCCTGCAAGAAATCTGGTAGGAGTTCTTGTCCATCTCGAGTCCATGGTTCATCTTCATGAACAGTGGCTGACGTCCGGCTTTGGCCTCTTCTGTCAAAGTTGGCCCAAGGATCGTCCTCCGTGTTCCCAGTGGCCTCATCGACCCCGGAGTGGTACTCCTCGTCATCATCATTCTCGTTCTCTGTCCAGCTTTGCCAGCTGGACGTGTGGTGTCTCCAACTCCAGTCTCTCCAGTGGTGGTGTTGCCTGTCATACTGGCTAGCCACCCGAGCAAATGCCTGCCGTGCTCGAGCATAGGCCTCAGTCTTCCGCGTCACGTACTCATTCATGGACTCCAACCGCCGTCTTTTGGTGGACTTGAAGTAGCGGTTGAGGTGTTCTGTCATGTCGCTGATCTGAGGCCGGCCCAAAGCACTCCGGAGATGCTCTAAGAGATACTGGACGCCACCATTGAATGACACCCAGTCAGGGCGTTTGCCGATGATGAATCGGCGAGCTGTCCCCTGCAGCTCACTCACCAATCGCGGCCCACAGAGATACCTCTTGTGCCATGCAATGCCCTGTTCCCACTGCAAGGCCAGTTCTTCGTAAGACTGAAAACTGGCCGCCTCACCGTCCCAAATTGGAACTCCATCTTTTGTCCTCAATGGGTCTCCTGCACTCGTCATTCCACCTTGGCCTGGCAAAGGTGGCTTTCCCTGGATCTCTGGCTTCCTTTCTCACACGAGCCACCGCAGTGGCTCCGCTACCATGCAAGTGCTGGGACTTTGCAATGGTAGGGAACACTCAAGCTATCTGGATGTGGGCCCCAAAGGATGATGCTATGGCTTCGGATCTGGCAGCGCGAGATGAACAGCCCGGTCGGTCCTTTTTCCCTTTCCAAGCTGCGGATGAGCGAGAATCTGTGAATCCTGCTACAAGTGCTGTCACTTGCATATATTATATTGTAGATCCATGTCCACAAGCATATCTAAACTTAAACCCAACAACAATCATTGTAGAGCATTGGAGGGCACCATGGCTTCCGCACCTGGTGATCACGCTCAGCATCTGCTCCTCATTCAAGGACATCTGCATGATGCCCCGGATGCCGGTGAACATGATGGTGACCTGGGGCTGATGTTGGGAGCTTCAAAATTTGCTTTCCTGCAACTTTCTCTAGATCTCCCCATATATAATCGTAGCTTCAACCGTTTTGAACCGGATTATAATTATGATATAATATGATGTGATATGTTCAAATGTAAAATATTGAAGACTAATATATTGCAATTGTGAGAACATGAGTCTCCTTAGCATCAACCCAGCGATCATGACATACCATGCCATACCATGAGCCCATCTGGTGTCACATCGGGCTGAGCCACATTGCGAGTGTCCACATGCGGACGCACAGACCGTGGGTCTCCGTAGATGATGCGAGTGACCACTTCCTGGATTCGACATGGCGCTCCACGGAATTTGGCGACAGCTTCAGCCATTCACCATCATTTACCCATATTTAATGATTTCAATGGTCATTTGAGTTGAAAAAAAAAACGGTATGTAAATCCTGATCCCAAAAGCAAATCATGTGATTTCCAAGCGGCGGTCTTCATATTTATGTCTCGGCGCTTGATTCTGAACTGTTTGAACTAGAGCTTGTTGCATCTACATCAGAGCTGCTTTCAGCTACATCATATCCGTAGAGAAAGTTTCGTTCAGCAGTTTCTTTTTCAGGGAACAGCATCTTTTTCACAATCCCATGGCGGGGCCATTTTTAAACATGGCAGAAAAGTTTGACAGTGTTACTGGGAAAATTAACCCATCTGTGGAACAGATTGCTATCAGGTCAATGACTTGGAACGCAGCGCACATGGGATGAATGGTCTGCGGTCTCCGGGTTTTTGTGGGCAATTGGTCATTCTGACTGAAATCCTGATGTCGTTCAGAGGTCGTTCAGAGGTCGTTCTGAGGTCGTTTGGGAGCCGAGAAAAATGGCTAAATAATGACCCTTGAATACACAATAATTATACAATTTGAAAATCAGATCCCTGTCTGAATTCCCCGGAACGGGTAGGGTCCTCTGTGTTTCTAGTGGACATGCACTTCTTGGGTGCGCCCACGATAAATTCCTTATAAAATGGCCCTATCTTCAAACATTTTGTGCAGGTGCATTGGTGGCACAGCACGGGGAAGAGTCTTTGGGCTCGTAAAGACATGGTTCTAGAGGCTAGGGTCTCGTTACAGAGATTACAAAGACCGTGCCAAATGCAATTTGCCAGCCCCAAAAAATGCCTTTAGGGTGGTTCCGGGTGTAATTTGGCTGCTGATTTGTTCTAAATGCATCTAGACCTGTAAATATAATATATACTTATATAACTTATATACGTATATTTAGGAGGTCGTTCCAATGTCGTTCTGGATGTCGTTCAGAGGGTCGTTCCCCAACTAAATGGCACATTCCAAAATTACCAAAAACATCAGAAATAGCTGCGGCGGTGCCTGGAATTCTGAACGAAGGATCGCACAATACTACTGTAAATCAACCCCCCTTTTTTTGGCTCATTTGAACATTTTGAACCATGAAAAGACGTCAAAATCACGTCAGGTGCGTCGTCTATTGAGTTCCAGGGGCACTGATCCTGTTGTGAATTAGGTTCTTGTGGTTTAAGTCTACCATACTGTAGTGCTTTTTGAAAAGAAAAAAAAGTGATCACATATAAGAAAAACACACCAGACCTTTTCTCAAAAATTGAACCCAAAATCCCGTAGATCGCGTATGTTGTTTTCATTTTCCGCATCAACATGGCCATGGATATCCCATGGACCGGCACCTCTGGAATGAAGATCGAAAACGCACGAATGCCCGAGAGCAGCTTTCCTCAACGGCTGGATAATCCCACTGGAACGGTAAATGTTTGGTAACTGGGTTTCAATTCCCAGTTCAAGAGATATAGCTTAGTTAGTTTATGTATAATCATTATATATAATACTTGAACCACACATATATATATATACATGGAGTATATGTAATATTGAAGAATTGTTGTCCGCTGCCAACAGCAGTTCTTTTTTGTGATATCACCACCTTGCGATGAGCATTAGACATGATATGGGGAATCAACATGAGTAAAGCCCAGTTCTCCGCAGTTCATCACACAATGTCACTACATGTCACTAAATCCCGGACAACGCGGCTGCGAGGCGGCATCTTTTGTCCAAGAGGTCTGCACGTTGCCTTTTTGATTTAGTGCCCAGTCAGAAAGTGAGTCTCCAGCCATATGCAGAGTCAGCATCAAAAGTTAGCTGGCATGTTGAATCCAGAGTTGAAGGGTTTTGGATGTTTTGGATGTTTTGGATGTTTTGGATGTTTTGGTGTATGCCGTATGCCCAACATTTTGTAAGCAATTTTTCAGGCACTATATTCCAGAAATGTTTCTCACTTTCCAAGGCCCCAAGAGTGCCAGAAAAGCGCTAGCTACGCTTTATCTGGAGCTGGTCGCAAAGGAAGTACTCGGTACTACTTCGCTTTTGTGGAGAACTGGATTCCCTTCATCGATGCCAGGGGCGGCCACAGGTGGCTAGGCGATGGCCGTGTCATGCGATGTCACGCATCCAGCCGTGCACATCGGCTTCATCTCCCGTTTGGATGGCCCGGAGCTTGTTGTACATGTTTTGCAGCACCTCTGACCTCACTCAAGCGCTGATATTTGGATACTTTATGATACTTTTGTTCAGACTTTTCAACAAACAGCGCTGGGTGGGGATGAACATATTTCGATCTGGCAGGACAGTAGTGTTGACACTTGTTTTTTTGCTTTCCGTCGCTTTCTCAACTCCTTCCAATCTCCTTATCTGCGAAATATCCCGCCTGGTGATGTTTGCTAAATCATATTCTTTCATTCCTTTGGACAGAGTGGAGTTGTTCCTACTTGCAAATAACCAAAAGGTCGATTCAACTACGATGGGTCCTTCAGCTCCTTCGGATTATGTACCCAAACCAGAATCTAATGAAATAAGCCCAAAACATCCCAAAACCCTATCTCCAACGATCTTGTACTAAGGTTTACCGTCGTGTATACCCAAGCATTTGGATTTGAAATGGTGTCAGATGATCCCCAAGTGATCAATTAAGTGACTGGTTAAGTGGCGATGGTTGGTGGGTTTCAATGGGTTTCACATCTGCCAGGTGGCTGCTCAAACTTGTAGACCTTGCTGTCTCGCGTGATGGACTCGATGACGGTAATCACTACTCCGGTGCCCACGGCGCCAACCTCTTTGAAGCTATCCACCTCTGCATCGAAGTCAATCCTCGGTGCATGAGCCACTAAAAACACCACAAGCAAATAATTAGTAGCTAAGTTGGGAAGATCATATTATAAATCCGGATGGCAATTGAAGGATCATCAATTTGATCCGACACCTCTGAACGAGAACAAACGCGTAATTCGAAAAGTCTTGAAACCAAACACCCCACCATACTCCCCCTCATACTTCACCATCCTTCACCATACTCCACCATTGAATCTATACTATTCGCTGAGCATCTTACGCCTCTCCACCTTCAAACCCATGTCAACGGCCAGCTTTTCCAAGGAGGCGTTGGTGACCGAGTCAAGCACTGAGACGGAGTCCGGTGTCAAGTAGACCCCGGATTTGGTGATTGCTACAAAGTTGGAGGTACTAAACTCCTCCACATAGCCTGGCTCAAAAGACTGCGCCACCCATCACCCCTCAAAAAAACAAATTGGTCAAGTTGGGGTTCTCTTCTGTTTGGTTTGTACGGTTGAACAAACTATGAACCATCTGATTGCTGGGGCTGGAACTTGAAAAACATAATATAAATAATTAAACAACATATGAATGAAACCACCAGCCAGTAGCGGTGTTCCTTGGCATCCAGGTATAAGCACACTGGGAAGCCTTGCTTTTTCGCTCGGGCGGCTGGCACAATGTCTGCCGCATAATTGCCCGCACATTTCACCTCGGTCACCGTTGGTTGCTGAATCACCCATATATTATATATTATTCAAATGGATCAAAATGGGGAATCCCCAAGTCACCATGGCTTTCAATACTAAAATGATCTAAATGCTCTACAGTAATTTGGATGATTTGGGGGTACACCTATTTTAGGAAACATCTATGTAACATATGTGTGCACAGTGTTTGTAGAAGAGACATCATGATCGTTATGTAAAGATCATTGAAGTGTCTGTAAAGATGGCTAACATGCCACAAACGGGGGTAGATCTATAACCCCTCCAAAGAAAAAATCTCACTCCATCCCCCCCACCTGTCCTACTCCATTGGGTGCAGCCCTATCGTAATCCTCCACCACAATGGCGGGCACGGCCGAGCCGTAGTAGGGCCCCACCGGTGCCACCACCACTATGAAGGTGAACTCCGAGCTAGCCCCCAAGCCAAGTTGGGGCCCACTGCCTACCATGAAGGGTCGGAGGTATAGCGAAGCTCCGCTGCCATAGGGTGGCACAAAATCCAGGTTCGCCAAAGTCACCCGGGTCAGGGCCGACTGAAACATTTCCAGGGACATGGTAGGCATACCCATGCGCTCAGCACCTCGACTCATGCGGATGTGGTTCATCTTGTCATTGAAGATACGAACCTTGCCATCCTTGCAGTGAAACACCTTCTGCCCTTCGAAGATGGCCTGGCCATAGTGGAAGACATTGGCCAAGACGTGCATCTTGACATAGGGCTCCTCGACCATCTCGCCCTCATCCCATGCTCCATCTTTCCACACATGCTTGATATAGCAATGGGTGTCCACTCGAGTGCCGAAAACCAGCTTGCCCCAGTCCAAAGCGGCACCACCTACGGTCTGCTCCTTCTTGGACATCTGTCACGCGCGCCAAAATTGAAACCCAACAAGTGACAGCACAAGGTCTTGAGCCAGAAATCAGTAATCATCAATATACAGCAGAACCATGCAGAACCATCAAAGTGCTGAGTCTAAAAGGAGACACACCAAAATCCCAGTTTAAACAAAACATAATGCAAAATCATCCGAAATCCAAGTTTAGGAAACAATATATATATATTACTTATAATCAATGGATGCTAATGGTGTCTGGCCCTCATGTTTGGACAAAACCATTTGACAGCAAATCACAACCACTGTGAAACCAAGTCTCTGAAAGCCCTCTGGGCTTCGGCGACATCTTTGATGGCAAAGCCACGTGCTGCCGGGATGATGAACTCGGGCAGGATCCCATTGTACTCGTCCATCTGCTGGATATCCGTGCCTTGAGATTTTGAGACCACTTTTCCGACTGGGATGATCCTCCAAGTTAAAAAAAAAACATCAGGCATCACCATGACCCAAACATCACCCCAACACTTTTCAACCTGGTTGGATACCCTCTCAAAATCATCACTTTGTACTTTTTAGCGGGACATTGTCAATTCCCCTTTGATGCAGAAGAGAAACTCAGCAACCTCCGATAATCTTCAAAAATTGCTTTGTTCAGAACAACCACCCAGCCGTCACCAACCCTTTTTCAAAACATCCCTCCAAAAAAAATGAAAAACTTCCCGCAAAGACTTCACCAACCCTCGTCACATCAACTCCCCCATAATGTCATATGATGCCATATGATGTTTAACCTGTGGTTTATCAAATGTGTCCCCAACATCCCCTATCTCCCCGTCCCGCCGTTTCACCCAAGGCGCTCAAGCGACTCACGGGCTCTGAGATCCCCCAGGCGAGCAGGGCACCTATCAGCAGCGCCACGAAACCCACCGTGAAGAAAATCACTGCCGCGGCAATGCGCGCCTGGGGTGGCCCTTGGATTTCCCAGGGTTTTGATCTCTGCACTGAAAAAACTGTCTATCATTGTCTATCACTATCTTTCACTATAAATACAATATATCTATAATTATCTATCTATCATTATCTGTCTGTCTGTCTGCCTGTCCATCTATCTAGCTATCTTCTAGCTATCTATCTATCTATTCTAATCCAATCCAATCCAATCCAATCTAATCTAATCTAATCTATCTAATCTATCTAATCAATCGAATCGATCTAATCAATCGAATCGATCTAATCAATCTAGTCGATCTAATCGATCTGTCTACCTATATAATCTATCCGATCTATCTAATCGATCTGTCTATCTAATCTATCTAATCTATCTAATCTATCTAATCTATCTAATCTATCTAATCTATCCGTCTATTCTGTCTTCTGCCTATCAATCTATCTGTCTATCTATCTTTCCATCTCTCTATCTCTCTCTCTCTCTCTATACCTATCTATCCATGTATAATCCAACCTAATCTAATCCAATCTAATCTACTCTAATCTAATCTAATCCAACCTAATCTAAACTAATCCAACCTACTCTAATCTATCTAATTGATCTAATCTACTCTAATCTGACCTAATCTAATCTATCTAATCGATCTGTTTATCTGTCTGTCGGTCTGTCTGTCTATTTTCCATCCATCGATTCACCCATCCATCCATCCATCCATCCATCCATCCTTCCTTCCTTCCTTCCTTCCTTCCTTCCTTATCCATCATTATCCATCATTATCTATCATTATTTATCCTTATCTATCATTATTTATCCTTCTCTATCATTATATATCTATACTTATCTGTCATTATCTATCTGTCATTCTCTATCTATCATTACCTACCTATCATTCATATCTATCATTATCTATCTATCATTATCTCTCGATCATTACCTATCTCTCGATCATTATTGATCTATCTATCTATCTATCTAATCCAATCCAATCCAATCCAATCTAATCCAATCCAATCCAATCCAATCTATCTATCTATCATGATCTATCAATCATGATCTATCTCTCCTGATATATATATATATATTGTTATCTATCTTTCATTGTCTATCATTGTCTATCATTGTATATCATTATAAATCATTATAAATCATTACAAATCATAATATTGCATTATCTATCATTACCTATGATTCTCTATCGTTACCTATGTTTAACTATGACTACCTATGATTATATATGGTTATCTATGATTATCTATAATTACCTATGATTATCTATGAGTACCTATGATGATCTATGATTACCTATGATTATCTATGATTATCTATGATTATCTATCATTATATATGATTATCTATGATTATCTATGATTACCTATGATTATTTATGATGATCTATGATTACCTATGATTATCTATGATTATCTATGATTATCTATGATTATCTATGATTATCCATCCATCCATCAATCCCATCCCATCCCATCCCATCCCATCCCATCCCATCCATCCATCCATGTATCTCTCTCTCTCTCTCCATATGTATATGTATGTTTTTGTCAATATCTCTGTCTATATCTCTGCCTATGTCTCTGTCCATATCTATCTGTCCTATTCTGTTCTGTTCAATTCGATTTTATTCTGTTATGTTCTATTCCACTCTATTCTGTATTTGTTCTATTCTATTCTATTCTTATCTATTTTATTTAAGTTATCTATCTTATCTTATCTTTTCGTATCTTATCGTTTCGTATCTTACCTTTACTATTTAATCTTATTTGCCTTTTGTTTAACTTGTGTATCTTATTTATCTTATGTGTCTACTTTTATATCTGTTGATAACTTTTGCATCCTGTGTATCTTATGTATGTTATGTATTTTATGTATCTATCCTATTTATCTTGTCTATCTTACCTATCTTATCTGTCTATCTGAATCCACCTACCTGCCTGCATCTGCCTGCCTACCTACCCTATCTCACTATCTCTCACATCCCAAACATCCAATTAAAATGGAAAATGTTTGCTAATCCACCAAAAATAATATGTTGCAGGCTATGGTTTTTCCATTTAATTATAGCGCAAAGAAAAAACTTAAAGGATTAAACTACCCATCCAAGGTTGTGCACGTTAAGCCCACCTGGTTCATGCTGGTCTGCGCTATGCTATCGATGCTCTCCAGCATGGCAAAGGCCCCCTGCTGCGCCGCCAAGGCGTGCGCATTGAAGGCCCCGTCGCTGACGGCCGTAACCTGTGTGAGGCTGGGTGCCGCAGGGGATGATGGATGCTTTTTTGGGGGAAGGCTAACTTCCTTAACCATAAATAAAGGGGTCCGGAATTGTTTTGGGAATGAATTGTTTTCTGTTTTTTTTTGAATCTTTTTTTCTGCCCGTTTTCCTTGCTATTTGCAGCATTTTGGAGCTGGAAGCTGCCGTTTCAACTGTCTTTGCAACATTTTGGAGTTGGAACCTCTCATTTTCCATAGGATTTACAACATTTTGGTGGAATTAGTAACATTTTGGAGGTGGAAGCTGCTGTTTCAAGGGTATTTGCAGCATTTTTGAGTTCGAACCTCTCATTTCCGATGGAATTTGCAACATTTTGGTGCTCGAACTGTTCATGTAACATGGTAGTTCTCGACTAGGTTGGTTGGTTTTAGGTTTAGTTTAGTGTTTTAGAGTTAAGGTTGATGTAGGATGTTTTTAAGGATTGGTTTAGGATCTTTTTGGGACCTTTTTAGGGTTTATTTAGGCTTGGTTTGAGACCTATTTGTGGTTGGTTTAGGACCTATTTAGTGTTGGTTTAAGGTGTGTTTAGCGTTGGTTTAAAAGATTTATTTAGGTCTGGTTTAAGATCTATTTAGGGATGGTGTAAGGTTTATTTAGGATGACATTCAAAATTATTTAGGGAATGTTTAGGGTTTACTTAGAGTTGCTTTAGTGTTTCTTTGGTTGGTTTGGATTTTTATGGTTGAATTGGGGTTTATTTATTTATATGAATTTATATGATGTTTCTTAAGGATTATCTGCAGTATGAGAAACCAAAAAAAAGGAGGACAAGCAGAGAAGCAGAAAAGCAGATAAGCAAAGAAGCAGGGAAAAGAGAGAAGCAAAGAAGCTGGAAAAGCAGGAAAGCAGGAAAAGCAGAAAAGCGGAGAGGCAGAGAAGCAGAGAAGCGAAGAAGCAGAGAAGTGGATAAGCAGAGAAGCAAAGAAATTTCCAAAACGGAAAAAACAAATCCCAAAATAAATAGCCCTCCTTTTTAATGTGGGGATATCATTTCTTTTTTAGGGGTTTAACGGAATATAATCACTGCCCCCCAATACTAAAAGCACCCCCCAAATGGTAAACACATTGATCTATCTTTATTATTGACGGGTATTTTGTATTAGGGCGCCCCTCATATTCCAATGAAAACCTTAATAATAAAAATAAACAACTCGATTTCAAATTTGATTAAATCCCTTTCTAAAATCTATTTCAAATATTGCCACAAACTGGATTTCGACGCTTTCACCTAATATTCCAATGAACACTTCATAATAAATAAAACAGATAATTTGTGAGATGGGGCCCTCATAAAAAAGAAAAAACTGCAGGTGCCATTCTATTTTTATTAATAATGGGTAAAAGCATGTACACACCATTATTTCACCATCCTGCCCTCCTATTGATTTCAATTACCACAATTAAGAACGCAATTGTAACCCACCAAAAAAATGAAATTGCCAATCCATTCCTAATTGGGTGAGTTTTAGTGATAGGGAGAGGAGATTATAAATAACTGGGTACGACTAATTCATACTAATTCTACTTATATATCTGGTTGGTGGTTGAGCCATCTCAAACATAAAGTTGATCGGGGTCATCATCCCAGAGCATCGTTGAGGAATTGATCAAGCTGAATGAAAGGAGTTTGAAGGAAAAAGTCAGAAATCCTCCCAAAGTTGGCTGGTTACTTTAGGTTTCTTTTAACATATCCGTTCAAGCAATACACGGACTAAGGCTGTATAGGCTTAAAGTGCATCATGCCATAGACGCGGGCATCGAATTACATCAAATCTTCATAGATACTCTGAAATCTCTGAATGCTTGCCTGGGAATTGCAATCTTCCTGATCTTCCTGATATTGACTATTGCCATGGAAAAAAGGGTTGGCAGAACTTGCCCAAGGGACTATGAGCCATCTGGTGAATTTGTCAAATTCCACTGACTTCGTGGCCACTTGCAGGCAATCCATGTCTTGACCTCAAGCACAAAATCGCATGTAGTTAGTTGCGAGATGAGATGTAAAACTGAAGAGAGATCAAGGCCCTTTGCAAGAGCATAAAAACAAAAGTATTTCCTGTGTCTGCTGGACAACTAACATTTTAATCCTTGTCCGCATGTTTCAAAAGAACATCCAGAAAAGGTCAGTCATGTTTCTGGAGCGTTGCAAAGAGCCATTCCAGTTCAGGCACCATCGGCGAAGTCGTAGTTTATGCGATGAAATCCACATTCCACAAACCTCAACGCCCGTCTCTGGCGGTCAGCGATGCATATGGAAAGCAAAGTTGTTTTTGTTCCTTTAAGTTACTCTTTCCTTGATAATAAGAACTGCAACCCCCAGCCTTCCCCGAAAAAAAAACATTAAAAATACACATATAAAATATGCGCACAGCTCCTCACAGTGCGATGAAGTAGCTCACCCTTCAAAGCATAGCTCTTGCGAAAGCTGAGCCTCAATTTTCAAGATGCATTTGTGATGACCTGCCATTTCTTCTGGTCATCATTACCACTGCCACTACCAAATTCAAACCTACCCCTCCCACTACTGCTGCAACTCCTCCCGCTGCTGTGAAAAAATGCCTCCCTGGCAACAGCAGGAACAACATGATCAACGACACCGAAATTAACCTAGAATTCACTTGGGTACAAGTATTTCATGCTTTTGGCGAAAACTCCTCAATTTTCTTGGTGAAACGGTGAAACTCTCCAGCTCCTGGTTTTGTGCCGCTCAGCGGCTCCTGGGGTTCCAGGAGAGCTTCAGCGTCCCATGCGCCAAACTTGGCGAAGAGGGCACGGGCAGTGGCAGCCACCATCTCCTGAGGAAATCCCCTGGGTTTCTTGTTCCCAATCGCTATGGATATCTATGGATCGATGACCATCCCCCAAGAACTCAAGAAATCATAAGAAATCCAACTTTTGATCATGATATAAATCATACCAATGGTATACTCAATGGATTGGTCTAAGGAAACCATGATCTTTCTGCAAGAAAAGGTTCCTATATTTTTTCCGTTGAACTAATGCCAGGATATACTCTTCTTTTTGAAGACTACAATATTGATATGTTGCCTCAAGACTCAAAATGAGCCAAGTACAGTAGCTGGTGTGATCTTAACTCACCATCGAGATGAAACTGGCCTGCTCGGGCTCGTGCGTCTGCAAATCGCTTGCGTTGCGTGGGAGGTAGTCCCGCTCTGGGTCTTGCCATTCGGCAGAACCCAACAGAAGACCCAGCCTCAAGGCCAAGTTCGAGGGTCCACTTAGCCGGTGAGTGACCAGTCACTAAGTGGGATGATCCTCCAAGACTTTGCTTGCAATCACCATTTTACCCGAAGCAAGCATACCTTGACCGCGTTCACCCTAGTGATTTGAGTTGGTGGTTTCAGGGTTTCAAATCCTCCGTTTGTTCCCCATACTGTGCCTTAGAAACACATTCCTTCAACAGCCCTCAATCCGAGAATTCGATAGAATTGGTGCGAGGGAACATCTACATGCAGGAAAAACTTTTCACCTGGAGGCTAAAACCTTGATTTCCCGTAGGTTTTCCCAACAAAATCAATCAATCGACTCAACACACGACTGGTTCTGCCGTGGCTCTGGTCTCTATGCTGCGAGACATGGTTCACCACGAAGATTGAGGCATTAGCAGCCTGGATGGATGAACATGTGCATGACGTTTACGAGTACCTGGTATTGAAACGACATTCCCGGAATTGAAGGGGAAATCTGTAGGATACCCCTCTAGGTGTTAAAGACTATGGTTTCCTGATGTTTCCTGTAAAATGTATTAACATGTCCCATCAACACATGCATATAATCCATTAAAACATGAAAAAAACTGCATGGCATGTTTCCTGCTATTTGAACATATGTTAAAGAGTGCCGCGGAACGGTGACAGTTGCATCTGGCCGCGTCATTCCATTCAAACGGCCTGCAGGCACATGTGCCACGAGGTGGGGATGCCCCAACTGGGCATCTGGCGATGGAACTTTATCTATTTTAATTATGTGTTATCCTTTTATAACATTTACAGGTGGGCTTTCCGTTTAACATTCTCCCTTGTTGCTAGCTCCTCGATCTTGACCATCAGTTATGGGGCTTGGCCTTTTCGGGTGGCTACAATCACCTCAACAAATGACAGTGCAGGGAATATCTGAGGCATATCCTGCAATCACCAACTCTGTTGAACATAGGAATCATTCCGTAGCAGAACCACGCCAAGAATAGTGTCGGCTTGATATGGTTTTAGCATGAGCCAACTGATTATCAAACGGCCCGTCAATGCGAACACTATGACTAGGTGTCCACCAGAATTATTTCAAAGAACTTTCTGGAAAATCCATCGTTGAGATTTGAGATGATGGATGTTTTCCAATGTTCCTCATTTACATCGAACCAATTAATGCCGGGATAAGCCAAGGCACTAAGACCACTCTTGCATTCATGGCTGATGTGATCAAGCAAGACTTCGGCTGAGATCACACCATCAAAGCAAGAATAACCTGCCAGGCCAGGCACCCGTCATCGTCGCTACGCCAATTTTTTGAAGGGATTGTCCAAAACTACGTGGGACCAACGGCTCAATCCCCTAGTCTATCATCATTTTTTGGTACAAATTTCGAGCCTACAGAATGCAAATTACAGTAATGCCAATCATTATGCCCAATATTTGGCCCTTCAGGTGCTGGATGTCTGCGCTGAGCCCCAGACTACCACAGTATGCCAGGGGTTGGGTCCAGGACATCCGCAACGCTCGTTTCGAATCATGATAGATTCTGGACCTCGGTACGGCATGGGCCTGGCAGCCTGGCAGGATGGGCTTAGGGCTTGGGTGCGGCAAAGGCTTCCCGAGGTTGGCACCATCTTCTGGAAATGGCTTCAGCTCCAGTAGCTCCAGCCTGAATCAACATCAACTGGTCAACCCTTGACCCAACCCACAAAGTATCCGCAAAATCGAGCTCATTAGCATACAGTAACCTGCCAACTTCCGGATCGTTTTCCTCTCTCAAAATCTCTCAAACAGCTCTTCAAACACAGGGTGTGGCCACCTCCTGAGCTGCTTGTTTCTGCACTTGGTAGTCAACTCTTTGTCGCCATTCCAGCGGCTCCACTAGCAATGGCTGGCCAACCTCGGCATCGATGCAGCGTAGCTGCTACGGCAAAAAAACACCAAATCTGGTGAATGATTTAAAGTCCTCCCTCAGTATTAGGAGTCATTGGGTATCCCTACTTTGACCCACACCATCCCATACCCATATCTGCTTCAAACCTTTGTGCCATCTTTGTGCCTTCCCATCGGCCCCAAAGTGTGGTGGCATCCTGGTATCCATGCAGTCATGCAGCAGGTAGACCAGTAGATAAATTGACCTTGCGCCTCACCAGCTGTTTTCCATGAGGGCCTTCCAAAGAGCCGAACCTGTGGCCAAAGGTTCGGGGGGCCAGGTATGCGATGGCATGGAAGATCTCACAAGCAAAATCCACAACTCAAGTCAAACAATACCGGGTAAAGACGTTTCTGATGGTAGGACATGTAAACAAAATGATGGTGAACACTCACAAAATATGACCATCACTGGCGGCAGCTGCCAGAGTCCCAGATCCCGCATCTTAAATTGGCCAAGGGGCGCGTGAACGTCCAGGTCTTTGCATTCCCCTGAGGCATGGCCAGATCATACATTGCCACCAGAAATGTCTCTTGGTTGGTGGTTTCATGTGATTTCTATGATTTCAACCAGCATAGAAATTAGAGATAATAATCCAAGGAATAAACATGGAAAAAGATGCTGAATTTAGCAACCATTATTTCACATCGGTGCGTTAAACATGTCATGTAGTGATCATTTCTCCTGGCATCAGGCTTAATGTTTAACATGAGCAGTCGTACTAGAAAGCCGCCCGAAAATGCGAGCAGTCGTTGACGTCTGGATTTCCAAAAATTGAGAAGAACAGCCACTAAAACCCAGTAAAGCCCCCAAATTGGCAATTTTACACCCCTAAAGCCTTCCGCACTGGCCTACCCCGAGTAGAACATCTTAAACCAGCCTTCCGCACTGGCCGTTGATCCGCCCAGGCCCCAACCAGTTGCCTACACAGCTGCCACACACTGCTGGCCCTGAACGGGGGCAACTCACGCTATAAAAACTACCAGCCATGCCTTGGGCGTAGCGATGCGTAGCGGATGAGTCAGGCTGAAATCATGGGGTGTTGATATTTTGGGCATATTTCCTGCCATATTTCCTGGGATGTATAGCATATGAGGGGTTTTTGATTGGGGGTTTAAGGAAACAACACAGGGATGCACTACGGGTTTCTATGATTTGGGTGGTTATGTTCTAGTGCTTTTTTTTTGGGCTTTGCATGTGAATATAATTACACAAAAATGGGGGTCAGATCAGGCTTGTCACCAATTCATGGCCATTTTAACACGGAACATGATGATGAACCAGTTGAATTCAAGGTAATTACCTCATCAAACAGACCGAACGAACCCCTGGCGAAATCATGGCCAATCTTGGCTACCATTAGTATTTTGGTGATTTCAACCCCCCTGAAAAATATTAGTCAATGGGAAGGATTATCCATGATTATCCCATATATTATGGAAAATAAAAAACGATCCAAACCACCAACCAGTTATGGTAATTAAGAAAATTGAAGGAGCAATACTACGCATGCAAGGTTTACCCAGAAATATTTCATTTTTAGGTAAACACAACTGTTGTACACTCTAGTCTCCTTTATGGACAGTATAGACCAACCACTTTGGATTCGGCTGAGCATCCCAAAATTGAACAGCATGTCTCTTTACACGCACACCCGCACACATGCATAGTATATGTAGAATGTATGTAATATGTGGATGCACAGATATGTATAAATATGTATGATTGATATAAAGAGAATTGGGATATTCAGTTGCGAGAGGTTTTGATGCTCTCAAATCTCCATCAATTCCATCTACACGTATGTTTATTATGTTTCCTGTATATACTAATCTAAAATGACTCCAGCAGAAAAACAACCCAAACTCTGGCATACCCATCTAAAACCCAATCAATTTGCGTGCTATGTGCAGCCCGTATGGAGGTGCAAGACTCAGTGGATCCCAGAGTAGGATCGGCCATTCTGTCAAGGCACCAATGACTTCACCAGAGTTTCGAAGAATCGATATCGACTTCAGCTGATTTGTGGGATGTTGGATCTCCTCGGGATTACACCAAACTGGAACAAACTGCTTGGATGTAGCATCTTGCGATTCAAAACAACGTGGAGACGCCTTTTGAGGATCCAACATGTGCAGAGGCAATAAAGTAGAGAGACACAAAAGCAAAACGGATGCAAGAAACAAAGGCAGCAGCGGCAACAACGACAACAACAACAACAACAACACCAACACCAACACCAACAATCAAACTCACAGAACTGGTTTCAGGGACATTTAATTTACAGGAAAACCTGAGCCAATTAACAAGGGTTTATTGCAACAATTCCCTGAATTAAACCAAGCATTGAAAACCATGGTCACACTCAATGGAGTAGTGATCCATGATCCCTAGGCATTCCAAGCGATAGACCCGATAGACATGCAAACAAGCGTCTGATACCGCCATATCATCTGAAGCAAACGGACCATCCTGGCAGTTGTCCACCATCAAAACGTCACCCAACCAAAAAGAATATCAAGCTATATATCAACGCCATCCAAGGTGTAAAAATGTCACGATTCTAGTCCCTCAAGTGGGTTCAAATGGGACATTTATCTGACATCCCTTAAGGATCCTTAAGGAGCTCTTCATCCTGCCCGCAGCGTCCTGAATAGCCCATTGCGTGTCAAACTCCACAAAGATTCCTGAGATTGGAAAGCAGTTCCAGGCCCACAGTAGTGGGAGGAAGTTTGCCTAATGGTTAAAAAAAATCAGGACAAATTATTTTGTCAATGCAATCGGTTCAAAGTAGTTGTTGCCATTCATATTCCAAAGCCAAGGCGCTATAGAGTATCTGGTCCTTGTACTCCTGTCAGGGGGCATCCAAGTCCATTACAAGACTACATTGAGCCACTTGAGTCCATTTCCAATATCCAATATCCAAAACTTGCAACGGCTGAGGAAAAAAAGGACCATGTTCGATCAAACTGTCGTGGGCAAACCCTTGGGTGCCACTCATCTTTGAACGGGAACCCGGCGCCCCAAATGAAAGAACTGTCCTGGATGCTTCCATCCCATGTTTCGTTGAGCACATGCATCGTGCGCAGCGAACCCCAAATCGACCTGGGGTTGTTAGGAGAGCGACATCTTCTCAGAGGTATTTATCTCAAAAACCAAGGAACATTCGACATTCCATGTTTTTGACAGTCTTGAGTCATGATTTCTTTCCTTCTCGAACTTTTAGATCCGTCAAAACAAAGAGATATCACCAACCATTTGTTTTTGTCTTTTTACCACCCCAATTCCCATCATTCCAGTGAGCTTTGGAATCATGCTATCCATTGCTATCCCCTATTAGATCCCCATTCCATCCTCAAAATGCCACCACTTTGGTTTTAAATCCCATTAAATCATATTAAATCCCAATTTCCATGGCTAAAAAACATCATAATTCTTCGTAGTTTACTTCAATCTTTTTCCCGTGAATTTCTGGGTGAATTCACCTCTTGACTGGTCTACCAGTCTACCAGGGATACCGCAAGGGGATCCAAGAAGCTCAAGGGCTCGGTCCGCAGGTGTCTGGATGGAGACCGACAAACGTTGGGTCATGCTGCCTGGCATCAGGCCGGATGGCAGGCCATGGTTGGTGGTCGACCCATCACCCCCAAAAGCCAGGGAAATGATGAGAAACTATGACAAATGAATTGTTTTCATGGGGATATAATGGGGATATTGTGATTTAGGATTGTTGTAAACATATTAGTTATATAATATACTGTATATATAATATATCATACACAAACTGGAAAACATGGCCATGTCTTTGTGACTCTAAGTGTGCATCTTCAAAACCAGCAGGGTTTGACGACTCCAAACTTTGCCCAACAGTTTCAAGACTAACTCTGTTTTCAGCCAGGGTGCCCAGCACTTGTTTCATTTTCTCGGATGTGATGTTTTCATAGACGATCTCATCAGCACCAAGATTTTGAAGCGAAAGTGCATCGCTGCACGCACTGATAATCTCCGCTCTCATGGACGCCGTGTAAATCTCCAATACCTCAGGGGGATCTGTCAGTGCGAATCCATCTGAGTGGGCCTGCTCCGGGAACATGACGAAGATACATATGCCCAAAATGAAGCTGGCTATAGCTATATAATATACAAAATGGTATGTTTAGACAATTGTATGTATATATATATACATAAATACATTACATTACATTACATTACATTACATCACATCACATTACATTACATTACATTAAGTAATTACATACATACATACATACATACACACACACATTACAGTACATTACATTACATAAGATAACATAACATGCAATACAATACAATACAATACAATACAATACAATACATTACAATACAATACATTACATTACACTACACACATACATACATACATACATACATATATATATCATTAAATATTCATGCATACATAAAATATGATCATATTAATGTTGCAACTACGTATTCAAGTGTGTGCATATGTATACACGAACACTTTTTGATTGGACAATTCAATTGCCAGTACTGTATCTCTCGACTACATCTGACCCCTCAATGTCGATATAAGGTAAGTCGATGTAAGTCGTACATTATGACAAATAGTTTCAGTGAATTCAGCGCATTCCAGGTCCAGATCAACCCAGATGCGAAGTGCATGCTCGCGCATGTAATCAACACAACTAAAGTGATCATTGTGAGGATGCCCCTCCGCAATCCAACAAGGTATTTGGGAGTGTCAGGCTCCTGAGGCTCAACGAAGAATAGCAAATCAGGGAAAGGTATGAAAAGATCACATCCCCGTCCAAGACATCCAAGACATCCAAGACCCTCCAAAAAACAACAAAAAATGACATGTCCAAAAATCAAATCAGCTCAGAATGCTCAGTCCTTGAATACAGAGTAAAGATCCATCGAAACCGGCATCAGCATTGCTGCTTTAGCCAAGGCGGCGGAAGTATAGTTATCCTGACGCAAAGCGAACCGCAGAGACCTTGATCTTGGAAGGTTACAGTAGACCCATCAAACGGAAGCCTATCCAAAGTAACTTCTGGCTACAGTGCAAATCATTCGGTGGTTGATCATCTGGCATCTGCTTCTGGCAAATGATCAATCACCAAAATTTCATCAAATACCATCCGCCCTCCCCCAAATTAACATATAAACCGTCAAGGTACGATTCCATCATTGGCACCGATGGGAACAGGAGGCGACATCGCACCCGTCAAGGGGTGAGCTACCCTGCGCATGTATATAAAACACAAAATATGCAAACTGTCAGTCCGCCTGCTTTCCTGCTCACATGAAGCACTCAACATATCAAACATGCTGCCTTCTGTGCTATCTATTCCAGCCAGTTTTAGGATGTCCCTGTTAGAAGAAAATCGAGAAGAAAAGCATGCACAGCACTATCAAGCTTTTTCTGGTAAGGCACAGGTCGGAGGGCATGGCATACTCAGCCAATGCTCGAACTTCTTCCATCATGCCTCAGATCGTCTCAAATGGCACATCTGTTGCCTTGAAATCATGCATGAGTTTGTCTGGAAGCTTTGAAATGTTTGGGATTCACGTTTTGAATTGGAAAAGTTCACCCTTTCGGCTTTTCAATGCCAAGCACTTTGTAGTTGTCTGAAATTAAACATTTGAACGTGTTGGAAGTTCCATGGTAGGTGTTGGGTCGATTTATGTCGATCTTCATGGTCCAAATCACTTTTCAGTCTGCTCACCAACTTCAATGGCACCTGCTCCCGTCCCAAAGATGAACGGAATGAAGTACAGTGGTGTCCAAACACGGCATTGCTAAGATATCTTAAGATATCGATAAAATCAGCCTATCACAGCACGGTTTTTTCATCATAACAAATACATGTATACATATATAACATTAATTATATAATATTATTTAAGTATATAATATAGCATTATATAATATATAGTATATAGTAACTTAATATGTAGTATACATATCTATGCCACATCATGACATGATTGGGATCATTTAGGATCTAAAAACAACACCACCCCAAGGCCATGGAGGCCATCGTCCTGCCAGGCGACTCCCTTCCGCCTGCATGGGATCTTCGTCACCGCTACTTTCCGAGCTCGAGGCGGGACCGTCTCAGGTGGCCGAGGCAGGCCGTGGCAGTGGGATGCTATGGCTATAGCCATAAGAAAACTGCCTTTTAATAGGACAGGAAAAATATGGAAAATTCATGATAAACCACTAAAATTGGGGTATACTGATGAGACATGATGAGACATGATGAGACATGATGAGACAGTATACATCGGAACACCATGGAACACAATGTTTTTCCAGACATACCTCCTGTATACATTTCTTACAAATCTCTTTAATCATTTCTGTGCAACTAAAAGATGCTCAAAGAATGCTCGACCTTCAACACGCATCGTTTTCCGGACTGGGCGGTGCGTCTTGGGGGAAACCTGTGCAGTGCGTCAACCCCTGATATCACCTTGAACTCCTTCAAACATGGGGTGAGCTGATTGACAGAATCCCATGGTTTCACCACAAGCCAGCATGCTTGGTTCAAATAGGTGTGCTACTCCCATATTAAAATCAATAAACTCTTGGGACCTGGGGACATCTCATGACATCTCTGGGCGACTTCCGTCTGCCACCGAAAGGCCGACATCACCGGATCCATCGGACGCAACATTACCAAAAGGCAGTTGATTCTCGATATCCTGACCGCCCAGCGAAGCCAGAAGGGAAGGGCTTAGGATTTTGTGCTTAGATGATGGTAAATGCAGGTTGATGTGCCACAGAGGGACGATCTGTGGATGTTTTAAAGAGGAAGGATGGAGCAGCTTATTGTCTCGCAGGATGAAAGTACACACGGTCCATGAAGAGTACGTGTGATCCCCAGGAAACTCATGGTTTTAGTTTTACCCCTCCTACTCTGGCCGGTTGGGGCTCCTTCCAAATCTTAGAAACTACCAGCATCTTCTGCCAAGAGTTTTGCATCCCAAGCAGGATTCTATCTGGGCTCCGGGAGCTTCCCCTCACCATTTGCTGCCTCTTCGTCTGATCCGCTGAGCCCACCCAAGTAGCTTAGCACATGTCCACTGTGTCCACTCGCGGCGTCATCCTGGGTGTAACTCTGATGGCAAATGGACTGCAGCTTCCTAGAATCTTGAAAGACTCGTTCCAAGAAAACCCAACAGACCTTGCGGCTCAGCCAAGCTGCATCCATTCTGCCGCCGCGTCTTGCTCCTTTTTCGACCGGCGCGGCACTCTGTTGGCTGCGCCTTGCCACATGCTCTGGTCACTTGAATAAATCATCCAACTGGTGATCTGCTCTCGAAGGCCACAGCCATATATATATATATTAATACACTGTAGTTTAAAATATAAACATGAAGAAACCACATACGCCCGCTTGCGGATTGATGGTTCGCATCCAAGCTGACCGGCAATCCAAGTCCGCCAATGCTGCAGGGGCACCTTCCTCTGGCCAATAATTGTTACTGGCAAACGTCAATAAGGCTCCACTCTTGAGCTTGAAAGATCCGCTGCGGCGGATGCAAATCACCACACCCAAATTCAAAACACCTCTGGAAAGAGTTCCTATATAAGCATCAAAAACTGGAGATGTTCCATTGTTAAATATGAACATTGGCTTGGAAGCGCCGCCAAATGAGATTGAACATGATCACAGGGTTGTGTACTTTGCCATGTATGCACAGCTTCAAGAACGATTACCAGCTCCGGCGTTGCCAGCTTCCTCCTTAGCTGCTGATGTCTGTTGACTACATGTCCTTGTTTCCTTCTTTTCTGTCTCCACCTCAGCTCGCACCCAAGCAGAGCACAATTGGAGTGGACGGCACCATATCTGAAATCTGAAAAATGAATAAACATGATGAACATGTGCGACCACTTCAGACTATGATGGGGATATCCCCCCCAGCAAAACCAGTCCTGATGGCTTCGATTTGCAAAGTTTGCTTTGCATCACAACTGCTGAGTTGGACCTGCCAATCCAAGCATTCCAAGCCTGGTCCAGCACCGTGTTACCATATTTGGCCATGAGATATTCATCTGACCTTGGAACTCATTGGGAACCCATGGGATCCCCTGGGGCCATGGGGCAGGGGCAGCATCCTGGGGCCACTGCCACTTGTGAAAGGCCGGCATTCTCCTTCCAGCTGAGTGAAGCCAGGTGACTTGCACAGGATCAAGCTGACGCCACCGTCCGGACCGTCCTTGCGGCATTTTTGAGCAGCACAGGCTTGCCATAGCCATCAAAGTCACCACCCTGACGGGGAACGTCGCTTTTGTCAACGGCGCGGCATCTGATTGGATCATCTTGGAGAAAGAAAAACCATGGAAAACAAGTATATCTACAAGCATGAGCGGATGTGATTCTTCCTTCTCAGGTGTTGCACAAAGAACTGACCCAGAGCCGCCTCGTCTTGAATGTACCTTCCGCATGCCAGCATTCACATGCAGCAGCTAGCACTTAGGCGGCATTCAGTCACTTTCTGAAATGACAAGAATGGCAAAGGCCGTATTGTTCATGGAATCATTGGGTATCCACCTGCACATTTTGTTAGTGGACCTAGCTGCAGGTAGCATGGACTGGGATACAGGACCCAGGAAATCACAAACTACATGGCAAACACGCAACCACTGACCCCACAAGCTCTGCATCAGACATGATAGGTTTGCAGTCTATATCTTGCTGGCTTGCCATAGTTGCAATCCAATAATTTTGTCCCTTCATCGAAGCCCTTGAGCACCACAGGACCACATGCCTCCTCCAGAAGTCTTCAGGTGACGGCAGCTCCTATGGATATCAGGACATCACCTCTGTGCGTCCATGATCGTCCATCAGCTCTCCCACTTACCACAACTCCTCGATCACATCCACACTGCCCTGTGGCTTCCCCACTGACCTCAAAGCGCTTTTGTGCGTGCACCAATGCACCATATATGCACCATAGGAAGATGCTCCATTCCCGAGAAAACCACAAACAGGATCAAATAGGTAGACGTCAAATGCCAATGCATTAAGGTGTTGATGGGTGTTGTCGATGGTTTTAACTTGTAAATCACCTGCCAAAATTACAGGTTTCCAACTTCCCCATCAATTTGGAGGCTGCTAAGGCAGCAAAACAATATCCGACATTTCATTAAATTAAATAGATAAAGTGTGCCAGCCTTCCTGCTACACGCACACACACACACACGCGCGCGCATCATGGTAATTGGTTTCAATGCCTGCACTATTTGGAATGCACCTGCGATCAGCCCAGTGGCCAAATGGAGCGACCATCCGCCAGCCAAGCCGCAGCCTGCCAAGTGTTTGGGGTTGATATTTTGGAAGCATGGCACAGCCAACATGGGGGAAAACATCATCCCGGTTGGTTTCATATCACATATTACAGTTCTCAAGACAGTAATTAGTTCATATTAGTTCTATGGGGGTCTTTTCCTGCGACCAAATTTGCACCCAAGGCTACATCAATCACCGAGATAAACAAGCTAGTGCGACCACGAGATGTAGCTTGTGCCAGTTCATGCTCCCGTAGCTCAGTAGGCTTGAGAGAAAACTCAATGTTGAGAGCCACCAGCAAACCAAACATCTGGCCTTTCAGGACTGGCTACTCCCGATTACTGCTTCATCTCTTGCGCTGCACATTGTCAATGCGACTACCACTGATCAAAAGAAGTGAATAAGATTCCGTTTAAAACTGTATGTTCCACTGAAATGGCCCAATCATCACAATCCAGGGCTCAAAGTTAAGTGGAGTTGATCGGAGATTTTGCCAGGTGGTCATGTCCATTGTATTGCCTCCGGCATCCTAATAAAGCTGGAGCCTAAAGCATCCAAGCATTCAAGTTGTGAAGCAAGTGGTGACTCAGCACCTTTGTCCACAACAAATTCTGCAGCCTCTTAGCCCTGGCAAGATTCTCTGGCACTGTATGCAGGCAGAACTGCGGAAATATGATGACACATGGGGGATGGGTCAAAATATGTCAAAATTATCAACCCCAAAAATCGATTAAACAAAACATGGTGCCAATTTTGACCCATACCCTGAACAAAATTTACCCGGCCTTGGAATAGACCATCATGGAGCCCCAACCTTACTGACCATTGCGGTTGAATTTCATCATTGTTTACACCGGAGCAGTTGAAAATCTTCTTTGCACCCCACGCCACATGGCTGTCACATCACCAAACCACCCCGCCAAACAAAATTACGAAGTAGTTACATGTATAGTCTACCCATCGCTTTTATGTCGTTTTGTATCCCTTTATGGCAACAAACCGATGAAGATCATCAGCCGGCATCCAGAAATTGCCCCAGTCTCCACCATAACCTGAGCATCCTGGGCGCCGTGCCAATGTAGACCGGCTTCTCCCCGGCATCGATAAACTTCGTGCACGCCTGGGCAGGTCTTGGCACGGAAAAACCCAGAGGTTCTTGGCCATTTCTTGGGATATCCATTATCTAAGATTATCTATAATAGTTGATGATGTTGATCATGTGGGATCCAAACTAAACCAACTTTAGAGGACTTTGTTTCGTTTGATGTTTATTCATTGATGGCTTAGGATCTACAACCATCCCATTTTCGTGGATCTCCAATGGCCTTCGCCCGCCCACAGCTGATCCCTTACAATGTTGCTGTTCAATGTTTGCACCTCGTGCTGGCTGCCAGCGTTGAAAAGGGTTGATCCCTTCTTTGCCGCTTCCTGTTGCCAGGTTTGGCCACTTCTCGCCCAATTCTTCGTGCGGATGTCGTATCACGGTTCGACCACCAGTCAAACAAATCACGAGAATAATTGCTAATAGCAATCATTAAATGTCAACGCAGATCAAGATGATCAAGACACTGATTAATTAAAAAAGATAATCTGTTGTAACATTGTTTTCTTCGCACAAACTATGATACGTGGCAACCCAATGATTGAAGTCATTGATTTGCTTCTGTTGGTCTGCGAATATCTCGAGAAATGGCCTCCTGCACCTCCTTTGGAATCTTCCAGTTTCCTGTGCCGTGATGTTGGGTCGCGTCCCAAAGATGAACGGAACACACGATGTGGTTTCTGCCCCAAAAAGTGATGCATTTACACCAGGCAATTAAATGGATAACTGAGAAAACTGATGATCAACCACAGGATTTGGATTTGGCCCATGATTTGGCCTACTCTTAAACAACCCTGCCCATGTTGGGGTATATGAACAGCTACCCATGTCTGAGACTGGGGTGAAAAAATGCTGAGACCCCGACACCTCACCGCCCTACCCCAACAAGACGGGCGTTTGCGCTCCTGTGATAACATATCCCTTGTTGTCGCCCGTGGGCCAATCATCATAGGCCGGCCACCAGCCAGGGGAGTACGCTAAGAGCTTTGGCGTTGGATGATCCTGGGATGGATCACCAGGATGCCTCAACATTTCATGGCCAGTGACTCTTTCTCCATACGCTGTGATTGGCTTTTGAACCCTCAATTCGACTCAAAAGTCCTCTCCAAAGTAGCCCTCGTACTGAGCTTGGGGTGTGTGGAACATGAATGGCCTTAGCACAGCAGCAACTCCGATTGTGCCTTTCAAGTCCTAATCCTATGGTTTGCCATTTTTTTCCCATCAAAATTGCCATAACTTGGGTATCCCATGTTATCCCCTATTTTCAAACAAACTCATGTTCAAACAAACAATAACAAACCCATACGCCAGGGTTTACAGGGGAAGGGACTACATTTTGCAACTAGCACACATGAGTCGGGATTCCCACTTCATCACCTCCATTATACTCATCACCTGATTGTTTTTACCACCTGTGTAAGTAGGACTTTGGGTAATCATTCAAGGCAGGCATGGACTGAACCCTTGAACCAAGCAAAACTCTGGGGTTCAAACTCCTTGCCCTGCTTCATTTGTTCCTGACCTCGGCAGCCCACATCAACACATTTCAGACCTCCGGTCCCTAGGTGATCAAATAACCATTGAATTGCACGTGGTTATTTTTTTGGTCCCAACCCAGGATTACCCAAAATGTCCGCTTCACAGGCGCTTGCACAGTGCTTGGGCCATCCACAATGTGTAAAATTTTGGATTGCTTCGGTCTGCGCTTGCAGGACCTGCCATTGCATGGCCAGAAGCTCCCAGCGAATTTCAGCAACATCCCAAAAATGGGACTCCATGTTTAACTTCAGGGAACCCAAGTGGCAAAATGTCTTTCGGGTGTGTCTTGAAAATTGGATCTTTTCCATTTTTGGTTGTTTGACCTAGAAAGTCATGATCAACCAATGGATTTTGGTGGTTTGCACAAAATGTTGTCTAACAACCATGACTTTTCCACTTCAAATGATTTTCCCAACATGTCCCAACATTTCCGACATTTTCCATTATTTTTCAACATGTTTCAACATTTTCAAACATTTGTCGGGTAATTTCCAACTGTTTTTCCATTACTTCAAGGTTGCCCCCAGCCCAGGCGCCCAAGTGTAGAGCAGCGGTTGCCCAGGCTCCAGCTCCAATCGCTGCATATGAACCGGCCTCGTATCATGTGTGTTTCAGCGGCAACGAGCAACAAATCAAAATACGTAAAATAAATATCGTATACTTATACCTAAATACATATACGCATAATTGCACATAAATACACATAACTACATTTGTTATACAGATATGCAATTTTACACCTAAACACCTATATTATACATACATACACTACATACATACATACATACATACATTACATTACATTACATTACATTACATTACATTACATTACATACATACATATATATATATATACATATGTACAAATATACATATATACATAAATACGTATGCACGTATATGCACATATACATACACATACACACATACATATATACATATAAGTATATTTGAATGCATACACCAACATATGTATGTATAAATGTATGTATATACATATACAAATATACGAATATAGTATAAAACTATACATCTGCATACAGCTGATATATATATATATAAATATGCATATAGATAGATATAGATAGATAGATAGATAGATAGATAGATAGTTAGATAGATAGATAGATAGATAGATAGACAGATAGACAGACAGATAGACAGATAGACAGATAGACAGATAGATATACATATAATATATGCTGTATATACATATAATCTATACATACATAATATACTGCATACATACATACATATACATATATATATATATATGCTACCCCCCTGAAAAGTCTACCTTTTTTGTGCTTTTGGGAGGGTAGCAGTATTCCAGCTGGACTAGAGTGGTTAATGCACAATCTTCAATCCAGAAATGGAAGCTTCTGAAGTCAGGGGCAGGCTGCAATCTTCAGTCACCAATCCAGGCATGGAAGCTTCTGAAGTCATGGGTGGGCTGCAATCTTCAGTCATCAAAAAGAAAAAATACAGTTTTCAATGAGAAACCTCAGACTCAGTGTTCCAATCTGGAAGAGGGTCAGGAACACCAATGTCACTGAGGTCCAAGGAGTCTGCTGCATTGAGTCTCTCAGCCTGAGAAGGAAATAATTGACAAACCAGCAAAGGAAACAATCTAAAAACTATGTTGAAGTGGTTGCTTGCCCAAAAGCTGAAGTTAAAACAAAGCTGAGCAACCTTGACTCTGAGGCCATTTCTCCTGGACAAAGCAGCTAAGTAGTGTTGCTTAGCCATGCTCCAGGGTGAGCTGTGAGTGACCAAGTGCTCAGGGTCAAATCTGGCCTGAGAGGCAAACACTGAGGCCAGCTCAGGGCGCAGTGTGTTCTCAACCAGCAGCATCCCCTCAGAAAGCTCACCCTCAGATGCCTGAGTGTTGCAGATGGCCTGGGATTGTTTGGCATCCCCGCATGGGAAAAGATATTGCTGAAGTTAAACTTTAAAAAAAAGTTGAGGAAAAGCAAAACGGCAAATAGAAAAAAAATACTTTACTTCGTGTGATCCCCACCATGACATTTATACATTTTGTTACTGGAAATCTTCTGGCATTCTATCTGACATATTTTCTGGCATTCGATCTGGCATTCTATCTGGCATATCTTCTGGCATTCTACCTGGCATATCTTCTGGCAGATGTTCTGGCATATCTTCTGGCAGATGTTCTGGCATATCTTCTGGCATATCTTCTGGCATATGTTCTGGCATATCTTCTGGCATTCCATCTGGCATTCTATCTGGCATATCTTCTGGCATATTATCTGGCAAATCTTCTGGCATTCCATCTGGCATTCTATCTAGCATATCTTCTGGCATATTATCTGGCAAATCTGCTGGCATTCTATCTGGCAAACATTCTGGCACTTTATCTGGCATATCTTCTGGCATTCTAGCTGACATTCTATCTGGCATTCTATCTGGCATACCTTCTGGCATTCTATCTGGCATATCTTCTAACATTCTATCTGGCATATCTTCTGGCACTCTATGTGGCATATCTTTTGGCGTGGATACTCGCGGTTGAGGTCCGGCAGGGAACACTGGGCGTGGATGGTCGTGGTTGAGGTCCGGCAGGGAACACTGGGCGGGGATACTCGCGGTTGAGGTCCGGCAGGGAACACTGGGCGTGGATGGTCGTGGTTGAGGTCCGGCAGGGAACACTGGGCGTGGATGGTCGTGGTTGAGGTCCGGCAGGGCACACTGACATGGATCGCAGTGAGCAGGAGGACGAGGAGGACAACGAGAGGAGGAGGAGGAGAAGGAGGAGGACGAGGAGGACGAGGAGGACCAGGCAACTGACATAAAATCTAACAACCCTCACCTGGCAGGTGGGGAACAACACAAAACAATTGCCATTGATTAGTTATACTGAGTTGCTCTGAGAAAGCGCTGGTATTGCACAGCCTCCTGCGTGCTCAGGATGGTTGTTTCCAGCAGCAAATCCCATTCCAGTGCTAAGTCCTCAGTTGCTGAAACATTCTTAGGTGAAACAACATGTTTAATTAAGTAGCTATTTTGTTGGTTACTAAGCACCTAGACCTTATCTTAAATAAACTAATCAATTAATTACACCAAAAAAGACAAAACTGACCTTATCTTTGACCAAGACACAATGCCAAGCACCTGAGAGCATGTTTTCATGCCACTGAGGAAGCTCCACTTCTGAGTATTGAGGAATTGCAGATACAACTGAACTCCTCCAGCCTGAGGGCTGAAATCCAAGAAGTGCTGCTTGAGATGCCTCAGAACATCCCATGGCCTCCCCTGGGCAAGGTCCATTCTGAGTTCCATATTGCTCAGTTTGGAGGCTGAGTATTCAATTTTTTCCAAGTGTTCTTGACTGAGTTCCCAAACCTCCTGGCTAGGTCAAATGAACCATGAAAAAAATTAACTTTCTTAGGTAAAAAAACAATATTGAAAGCATCAACCTTAGGCCACCGTCTTTATGACACATGCTCAATTGCCACCAAGTTTCTTCCCTGAGGTTGCCTGCTGAATGACCAGTTTGGAGACATAGTCACTGAAGACATTCAGCTGAGCTGAGATGGCAAGCAAGATCTTCAGGATGTAGCCCAGCAAGATCATTGCTGAGAACAAGCCCTTGGCATTGCAATCAACAATGTGCCAAAAAAACTGATAGGAAAACAGCTCAAGTAATGAATTGATTGTTTGCTTCCAGAAGGAGTTGAGGAAACAAAAATGTTTACTTACCTAAATCTTGCCTAAGATCCAGCTGAGCACTGTTGAAGATTGGGTCCAGCCCACTGGGCCTCTTGCTCAGACCAACTGAGTTACAGCCTGCAATGCAGGCTGCATGAGAAAAAAACATATTTCCTCAATTAATGATGTAAACAAAAGCCCATTCAATAGCCCAAGGTTTAAAACCAAAAAGCTGAGATGCAAGCTCAGATGCTGACCATGCTGATCCCTGAGCTCATCACAAGGGCCAAGATTGCAAAGGTCTTGGGCTGAGCAGAGATAGCCATGATGAGCCTTGGCTGACAAGATTGGAATTAAGCAACTGAGAACTGAAACAAAGTAATCAAATAATGAAATCGTAATTGGCCATTTCTAATTCATGGAAAAAACTTGGAGACAAAAAACTTGATTTCATTGACAACCTCAGGAAAACACAGTTGAAAGAAACTGAGAGCAAGAGGGTCGCTGCTGAGCTCTGGATGCTGCTGTGGACACATGCAAGCTCAGAACCAAACATCAGTAAAAAAAACATTGAAAATAGTGAATATAACCATTTATGTTTGGCAGTAAGTTCAATCTAAGCCATTGAGCATGACACCAGATGTAAGTTGAAAATAGCAAGCTTGGTTAACAGTTAGTTAGTTATGGGAATTGCTGGTTCCTTCTGCTGAGTTCAACCTTAGTCATTGAAACGTTACCCAGCCCCGCCACTTTCCCAAACATTTTTTTGGCAATGCCTTTTGCTGATAGTGGTATGCTGAGGCATACTGAGCCTTGCTGAGGCCACATTCATGTTGAACTCCATCTGCTCAAGATGCTGAGGTCCTGTCAAGGACCAAAAACTGAGAGCAAAACATACAACTATTTGGCATCAATCCCAGCGTATATTGTTCATTGATTAATTACTCAGTTAAAATACGTAAGTAGCTACCAATCCTGTTGTTTTAAACAAATTGACTATGCAATCCAGTACTTCCAACCACCAAATTAAGTAGGCAATTAACATACAGTAGAAGCCCCCACATCCCTTCAGAGCTGCGCACTTTTTTGGTTCCTTCAAGCTGCGTGGAATGCCTTTGAGTGCAGACTTAAAAAAACACACTGAGATTTCAATCTCAGGCTTTTGGGGCTGAGGCTACTTTCACTCAGCTGCCTGGCCCTCCTCAGTGACCTCAGCCTGTGGCATTTCCTCATCTTCAGGCATCTCCTGATCCCTCTCAGGGCTTGGCTGCAATCCAGGATTGAAGATTGAAGATTCTCCAGGACTCTTGTTGGATTGAAGATTGCAGATTCTCCAGGACTCTTCTTGGAGAATCTTCAATCCAGGATTGAAGATTGAAGATTCTCCAGGACTCTTCTTGGAGAATCTTCAATCCAGGATTGAAGATTGAAGAGTTGAGATTCTCCAGCACACTTGTTGGGGAATCTTCAATCCAGGATTGAAGATTGAAAATTCCCCAGGACTCTTCTTGGAGAATCTTCAATCCAGGAGAGAACCTTTAATATTGAATCCTCAGTCTTGGACGGAAGATTCCCCAAGAAGATGGAGAATCTTCAATCTTCAATCCTGGATTGAAGATTCCCCAACAAGAGTCCTGGCGAATCTTTAAACTTCAATCCTGGATTGAAGTTTCCCAAGTCTGAACTCAAGTCTGAACTCAAGTCTGAACTCAAGTCTGAACTTCAAGTCTGAACATCAAATCTGAATCTCAAGTCTGAACATCAGGTCTGAACCTCACAGTTCAAGTAACGTAATGGTGTGCGCGTGTCAATTTCAAGTCTTTTCTTTAAGGTGTATTTGCATATAGCATATGTATTTATGTAAAGCACCCCCAAACCAAGTAAATGAACCTTACAACGGTAGATTTTTTTTTGGGGAGGGGTACCATATTTTATATATATAATACGTATTTAGAGATATTATGTAAACATAATATACGAACGGTGTTTTGATTCATACTCCTCTCCTCTACATTTTATCTCTGAACATCTTTGAACTCAAGTTCGACAGCGGTTGGTATCACACCTGCATGGAATCTTTGAAAAACTCCAGATCTCCCCAGCTCAGCTGGGAAGGCTCAGCCAAGTCACGAGATATGATTGGTTGGTATCGCATGCGGCCTCAGCTCGGATCATCCTACAAGGTGAGACTGCTGTCATTTGGGGCTAAAATGGATAAAACATGGAATATCCGGTTCCACATGGATATTTGGAAAAAACGAAAAATCACTGGAACCACCAGGAAACCACAATGGGTTCTACATACGTCTTGACACCACAAGATACTGCAAACTTAAATTTCACTACTTGGTGCACAGAGCTAATGACTGGTACGACGCGCTGATCTCTGGCACGGTGAAGTTGGTGTCTTGCCGAAACCTGGCGTTGCAGGATCCACGGAGCTGAACACGTGGGCACCTGGGCTCCCAGCCTGGACACTTCTCCTCCAATCAAACCGGTCCTAAGTGGAAAGGTGTGGTGCAACAAAGGGCTGAATCACGTGGCTGCGTATTCGTTTGCAATCATTAGTCTTGGCATGTTTTGATGTGTAAAACGGGGTAAACGATAGCAGAAGCTGACTCACATGCCACTGTGACCCATGATTCAACCACAGGGCAGCTGCAGGGTTCCAAAATATCAACAAAGAACCACCGGTCCCACATTGGCTGAGGCATGCAATCCCACAAGGCAACAAAGGGCCGATTTCTGTCTGGCAGTAACAAGTCCTAAATTGAAAAAACATACATATTGAATAAATAGATGCATCAACCATGTTTGGGGCGATACCCCTTCCTAATCATCATTGTTTTGAAGGATGTTGGTCAGTGAAGTCCACCAGGTTTTCGACATGGTTTCTCCAGTGTCTCCAGCTGAGCCAAAAACCAAATGATGATATCCGGTTTGAACCTTGGCTGAGCAGCTGCTGATGTCAATGATTTCCTTTCCGGTATGTATTGAATGATTGAAAATGGTTTGTGGTACATGTCAGATAGACCACGAATTTGATACGCATGTGCCCGCAAATTGAATAAGGCACCAAAATGGGAGTGTAATGGCGGATGTTGGTGATCCCTTGGAATTGCTAGAGGTATACCGAAATTTCCACGAAAAAAATGCGTGGCATTTATGTAAAACCCCTACTATATCTGAACTTTTTGACCACGACATGCAAATCAGTGCAGCAGGTGCAATTTTGATCCAATCATCGCAAATTGATTGCGTACTTGCCTGTTGCCAGAAACTACGACTTTGCACATTAGTGCGCAACCTTGGATGCCATTGCCATGGTTCCAATATATAAATCACCTCAATATCTGTGCTCAGTAAACTTGGCATCATACTCCAACATTCCCTTCACAAAGATTTCGCCATAGTCAATGTTCCTGCTCAGCCATGCAGGAAAAATGTGTGCACAAAAACATTAAAAAAAAACAGGAACCTCGTTTGAAAATCTCAAAAACAAAGTTTGGTTTGACCTGTAGGCCCGGAACTCTGTATACGCGCAATCTGTGGAGAACATCATGCTTCATCTGGGGCGAAGGCAAATCCACATCGTCATCATAATCGGAAGCGGCCATGACCATGAGAATGTCGCCTTAATCAGCAATAATCGTTGCTGGTGCCCACCTCGTGGTTAAAAAAAACAGTGTCCGGCCTGTCTCCATTGCTTTCATGCCACGTTCCGTCGCCAAAAAATCCTGGGCAGAAACCTGTCTGCTTTTGCAACCCCTTCTTTTTAAATTTCTCATCGACAAAATGTGTCACAACATGTTTCAAGGTGTCATTTTAAGCGCTTAAAAATGACCAAAGTCAATCATGTCAAAAACACATCCCAAAAATTGCCGAGTATTCCGTTTTCCTGGTCAATCCTGGTCAGTACCTGCTCCATCGGCAGTTTTGTCTCCGATTAGAGGTTGCAACCCGACCATTGCAAGATTTACCGCCGTCCTTGATTTCCATGCTGCACGCCAAACTCTCGATTCCGAATTCAGCAGCCATCCTTGGTGAGGCTAGGTTTGCCCACAATATCCCACAATGATGATTGATATTGAGTGATGCTGTCCCGGCCATGATCGGCTGGCAGTTATGATAGGCTGAGAAGGCAAACGTCCGACAATGTGGAAAACTGAAACAGGAGAGGTGGGAAGAGTCAGAAGAAAAGGGAATATTGAAAGGAAGAAGAAGGAAAATCAAGTAGAAGCAAGAATCAGAAGGTGCAGGCGCTTGAAAAAGTGGAAAAATTCCGAAACACTGCGTTTTGTCGCCGAGGAAAGTGTTGCGCGAAGCAGATTTGGAAATCAAAAAATGGAAAGTACCTCAGTCCGGAACAATGTGGCAGGATGTCGAAAAGTGCACGCCGCTGTGGCGCGAAGCGCGTCTGGAAGTATATATAATGTTAAATTTGGTGTCAGTGGCGGAACACTTTTGAAACCTGAGATATTCAAAAAAGTGCCTGCTGTTGTGGCGCGAAGCACATTTAGAAGTCAAACTGGACAAAGATGGACAAAGCACACCGCCTTTGGAACACTTTTGGAAGTTGAGATTGGCATGTTCAGACATTGCACGCCGTTGTGCCGGGAAGCGCGTTAAACCCGCGTTTTGAAATCAAAATTTGCAAAGCGCACCATGTTTGGAGCACTTGTATCACTTTTGGACGTTGAGATGTTCAAAAAGTGCACGCCATTGTGGCGTGAAACGCGTTTCGAAATCAAAAGTGTTAAAAACAGACGGCTTCGGATCACTTTTGGAAGTTGAGGCGTCAAAGAAGTGCACGCCGCTGTGGCGCGAAACAGAATCGAAGTCAAAATGAGAAAAACACGCCACGATCAGACCACTTTTGGAGACGTTGCATTTTTGGTGGTGCGCGGTTTCAGAAAGGATTGCAGGCATGGAACGTTTGAAGATCAGTAAACATTCATGTCGTGTGGCAGGCGCAATACAGGAGACATCAGACATGTTAGGAGGTCAGGGTGCTGATTTCCTCAAAAACTCCATTTTGGAGCATCAGGTCTTCAGGTTTGTTAAATGGATTTTGCACGACAAGTGCACCACTTCGTACAACCCGGCATTACTTTTCGTGGCAAGCGAAAATGCAAACGCATTGATACGAGGCGGTCAACTTTGCACTAAACTTTCCATTTTGGGAAAAAATCTCGCAAAAAATGTTTCGCTTTTGATGTTGTCAATTTCCAAAAGCGAGGAAATTTTGCAGAATTTCATCGTTTTGGAAGAGAGAAAGAAAGAAAGAAAGAAAAAAAAAAAGAGAGAGAGAGAAAAAAAAAATGAGACGCAGAACCTCACTCACCTTTCGATCCATCAGTGCGTTTGCCCTGCCACCCATGCATCACAACAACTCCCCTCGTATAGTTTCCTATCTTTGAAACTTCTTAAACTTCCACTACCGCCTTGTGCGGCACTACTCCTATTTAATTGCCGTGACCAAACCACCAATAGGATCCCTACCCTTTTAGCAGGGGGGGACCTCCCCAAAATGTAACTTACATTTAGGGTAGGTAAAACCTTCGAAAATGTAACTTACATTTTGTGAAAAACCCATACAATCAGCACCTTCAAAAATGTAACTTACATTTAGGGTAGGTCCCCCTGAAATTTGGAGGGACCTGAAAAATGTAATATACCTTCCTAAATGTAACTTACATTTTTGAAGATTTTTGAAGGTGTTATTTCTCTGGAAGCCTCCATTTTTCAAAAAATGTAAGTTACTTCTTGGGACGTCACAAAACATTGGGCCCTCATGGGATAAAAGGAAGAGGTAAACATAACACTTATAACAAGGTTGGTGCCAGGATTACAAAAAAACACATAGATAAACAGAAAAACATCAAGAAATACAACAGAACATCAACATCTCTTAGAAAACTATAAAATCTATAAAACATTGCAAGCAAACATGATTCATTTCGATATATTTCAATCATATGTCTGCATATGTCTGCAACCATTCTGCGACATTCAGACCCCAAAGAACATCAAAGAACGGCTTCCCACGGAATTCTAGGTTGCACATTCTTTTGCGCATTCTTTCCATGAATGCCTTTGGACATTTTGGTCTTGGAACATGTAAGTTGATGATCAATAGCAACCAAAAAATGTAAGATCCTGTTGTAAGGTCTTCAAAACCTGCATTTTTGCAGTGGAACCTGCACCTCAATATCATAGAATTCCCAGCGAATCTTAGGAACCAAAAATGTAAGACCCCTGTTGTAAGGTCTCCAAAACCTGCATTTTTGCAGTGGAACTTGCGCCTCAATATCACCAACTTACATTTTCCAAGACCAAAAACTCCAAAGGCATTGCTGGAAAGAATGTACAACCTAGAAAAAAACACAATCAAAACCCATATTATACCAGAATTCCCAGGGAATCCTAGGAACCAAAAAATGTAAGATCCCTGTTGTAAGGTCTTCAAAACCTGCATTTTTGCAGTGGAACCTGCACCTCAATATCATCAACTTACATTTTCCAAGACCAAAATGTCCGAAGGCATTGCTGAAAAGAATGCACAACAGAATGTACAACCTAGAAAAAAACACAATCAAAACCCATATTATACCAGAATTCCCAGGGAATCCTAGGAACCAAAAAATGTAAGATCCCTGTTGTAAGGTCTTCAAAACCTGCATTTTTGCAGTGGAACCTGCACCTCAATGTCATCAACTTACATTTTCCAAGACCAAAATGTCCGAAGGCATTGCTGGAAAGAATGCACAACAGAATGTACAACGTAGAAAAAAAACGATCAAAACCCATATTATAGCAGAATTCCCAGGGAATCCTAGGAACCAAAAAATGTAAGATCCCTGTTGTAAGGTCTTCAAAACGTGCATTTTTGCAGTGGAACCTGCACCTCGATATCATCAACTTACATTTTCCAAGACCAAAATGTCCAAAGGCATTGCTTGAAAGAATGCGCAACAGAATGTAAAACCCATATAATACCAGAATTCCCAGGGAATCCTAGGAACCAAAAATGTAATATGCAGCAGCCAGTGTTCCCCCTCAAATCACAACCTACTATTGAAACCAAAATTACTGGATAATACTGGTGTGCCTAGGTTATCCTAGGTTAATGTATGTTAATGTAATACATCATAAAATATCATAATATATCATAATATATCATATTATATCATATTATTTCATATTATATCATATTAAATCACATTGTATCATATTATATGATATTATATCATATTATTATTAATTATATATATTAATATAATCATAGCATATAGTGGTACCCCCAAAAGGGAGGGGGGAAAAATGTAAGTTACATTTTTTCCCCCCCCTCCTCCCCATTTCCATAGATCACTACGTGTGTGGTGCATTCCTGGGGAATACCTTGCTTTGACCAGGACCATACCTAGGGGGGTCAGAACTTACATTTTTCACCCTTCCAAAACCTGAATTTCTGGCACATTAGAGATTTTAAGTTACAATTAACCCCTCCCCTAAAAACACCCTGAAAAATGTAAATTACATATAGTAGGGTCCCCCTAAAAAACTAGGTTAAGGGGGTGGGGATCCAATAGGATCCAATAGGTCAGGAACTGCGGAGTTGGGATGGCTGGAACTCAGCTACGTGCTTGCAGTGGCCAGGGTTGGCGAAGAATTTCACCTGGCACCCAGGTTGGGACAAACTCGTGCCAACGCGTCTGCAACCATCACCGAAACGGACCTTCCAAAAATGAGTGGGTTACAACTCCCGTTATGGCATTTGAACCCCTTTGGACCTTGCAGTAATCGCAAACAAGGCACTACATGTCCTGCACGGACCTGGGCCATCGCCAACGGTGGTAACCTTGAATTTGAACCGTGAAGAAACCAACATTTAAAAAACATTTTTTCCATTTTGTTTCAGGGGTGAAAGTGCGGAGATGTGTTTCATTTTGTTTTTCGTATGTGTGGTGGATTTTCCTTTTTTTTGCCACATTTTTTGGTTGACATAAAAATCAACACACACACATATGTATACATGTATATATGTATATATGTATATATGTATATATGTATATATGTGTATATGTATATATGTATATATGTATATATGTATATATGTATATATGTATATATGTATATATGTATATATGTATATATGTGTATATATGTATATATGTATATATGTGTATATGTATATATGTATATATGTATATATGTATATATGTATATATGTATATATGTATATATGTATATATGTAAATATGTATATATGTATATATGTATATATGTAAATATGTATATAGGTATATATGTATATATGTATATATGTATATATGTATATATGTATATATGTAAATATGTATATATGTATATATGTATATATGTATATACATATATACATTTGTGTGTAATAACACATTTGTATGTGCATGTCGTAAACTACACCACATTCATCTGCGGAAACATCTGCATCTTGCAACCGCACGCATGCAAAAACAAAAACGCATGTATCTAGTTCATTCTAGACTTGTATGTTCGTGTGTCATGAACAAGCTGGGAACCACATCCAAGGCCAAAACTAAGCCAAGACCAAGCGCAAGAACTGGTTGAAAATCGCCTCTGGTGCCCTCGCATTGCAAAAGTCAATGCCAACCGTTGCATTTTATATAGACAGGGCCGCAAACATCTCATGAATCACCCGCGAATCCAAATGGTTGGATCACCAGCCGTCTTCTAACTTCTTCCAGCGACATAACCAGATTGTTTCTACCAAATTTTCACTTGCAATTCAAGGGCCTGCGCTGCAATTGCGCATCGGATTGGCCCTCAGCACGGTAAAGAGCAGCGCAGAAGTCTGGGGAAAAGTGCTGAAAATAACGTCAAATTGAAGGGCGGTTGTTACATGTTAGTGACAGAATTTTTTAAATTTTGCACATTGCCTTGTCAAACCCCGCAGAAGCTATCAACCTGAGCACTGAGCACCAATTGGGGGTAATATGGGGCAAAGCGCTTGCGTCTGCTATTGGCCGTGTTTGTGTACATCCATCCAAGGCGCCCATATGGCAGTACGCCGAAACAAGGCTTGAATTCGACACAAAAATTTGAACCTA